TCTAAACACACTGTAGGTTAGAGGTTTGTGAAGGGTTAGATAAGTACGGAGTAGATCGAAGATGCCAGAGATAAACCGAGGTTCAGAATAGAATACATACTATTGGTCGGCTAAATTGCTCAACAGGGGATGTGTAAAATTGAAAGTGGGAAGTAAGTCTAGTACCGTAATAACTCGCCGATACGCTAAACCTTTTCAGAATAAGATTATTTCTTATTTTTTATTTCCTAGTGAAAGAATTAATAAAGTGAATTGAAAAAAAATTATTTATTAATTTACTTTTATAATTTATTTAATAAATATAATAATCTTTTTATAAATTTTATTTTAAAAAGAGTTTAATGTATTATAAAATTATAAAATTTATATAATATTTTCTTTTCAATTATTTTTATATATTAAAAACTAACAAAAGTTTATTTTAATAAATTTTTTATTTATAAATATAATTTAATATAATTTAAATCATAAAGTTATTATTTATATAATAATAAATTTTAAAAATATCAAATTTTTTATAATTTCATTAATTGAAATATTAAAATTGAGATTAGAAATTTTAATTTTTATATAATTAATATATAATCTAAATTTCATTGAATTATAATAATTTATTATAAAGTTATTAATAAATAAAAATGATAATTTTTGATATCAAAGAGTGGCCGAAAAGTAAAGTACTAGACTTATATATTCAATAATATATAGAGTAATTAACACCTATACAAAAGAGTTGAAAGGTTGAAGGTGTGCTGGCTGTAGTGTATATAACTAATTATCAGTATGAAAAATCATCATGTAACCCCCCCATCAAGTTCATGTTTCAAGGGGTTTCTGAATTGCTGGAAGGAGTATGCATCAAAATTCAAAGCCTGTTGTTGCAGGTCGGAAATTAAAAAATGGATGTACAACTGTACAGGAGTACGGAGTATATGTAGGGTAGGTACACTATATTAATTAATCCGAAGCGAGCCAATCAAACTCTGGAATTCTCGAGTAGGTCTACAAGGTAATTAGGTATCAAAATCGAATTCTGGTTTGAACATCGGAGAAATTCTGTGAATATTAAGCGTTTTAGATTACAAATCGCTGCCGAAAGAAACGTCATTGGGTCAATACTTGTGTACCCGACAATTGTACAATTGGAGAAACTCTTGGAGAACTAAGGCTTGAAAAGTGGTGGATGGTTGATGCGTACTGCAGTGATGTGATAGTGAAAAGCAAAAGAAAAACGTTGTATAAGACGGCTTTAGTACCTATTCAATGTTCGTTGCCGCTCTTGTGGATCTCGTGGTTTATGTTCATTCCAGCACAGCTCTTATCTCTTGTAAATCTTGATTATGCAAGAACAATAATAATAATAATAATAGGAAAGCCAAAAAAGTAACAATAATGGTACGTTAAATGACGAATCATTACCCCGCAGATACTTGATGTGGCAAGTGGTTGTTCATTATATTCATTTGGGAAACTCTTTCCTGGTCACACATAAGCTTTCCCCGGATATGTCTCTCACGACTTCCGGCTTGTATTTACGGCTGTGACCCACTGCAGACTTTGACCAGGTAAGTACTGTAAAAGTGTAAGAAAGGATAGAAATTGTCTGATGCTTTCAAACTTATATCACCCCCTATGAAATGAGTGATTTGAGGGAATTTCCAATACCACATCAGTCGGTAGATGTTTTGATGTATCGTTCATTATCATCAAATCTAGTATCATAGCGTGAGGAAATTGGAGGAGGATGTTTGGTTGTATCGCCCGGCATTCAATTCACACCATGGCGCTTGAATAGTTGTTTCGCGATGCTGATTAGGAATCATAAGCGAGGGTCATCTCATCAATGGTTGACTCGAGTCGCAACGTTAGATAAGATTTGTCTATAAGATTTGTCTATAAGATTTGTCTATAAGATTTGTCTATAAGATTTGTCTATAAGATTTGTTTACAATTTTAATATCTCGCGAGATATTATTAGGTTCATGAGAGATGTGCCCCGCAAATGCTTTTCATTGCCCCCAATCTTAAGTATTTTACCCCTGAATTTTCTGGCTGGACTCATGCGATGCACGGCCTTTGATCGACATGCGGTAGCTATCATGTGCCCCCCACTCAATTGCAATAACATAACGATGCCAGGATATGTATATGTTTTAGCACGGCAGTCAGTGGGTGATTTCTTTGATTCCATTCACACCGTGCCACCGTGGGTATTAGAATTCGAAAAATCCTTAGATCATGCAGTGTCTTTTTCTTTTCCTTAGATGGAGTCTCCTAAAAACTCTTCTGCATGTGCATGGTATAAGGATTGAAGATAATGCACTTCATCTGCATGCATGAACTAAACAAAATATCCCGATGTAAGCCGAGAAGATCAAAAATTTGAATGTTGCCCGTGGAATGAAAGTATGAGAGGTGTATCAGAAAACAGCGAGGATACAATATAGATATTTGATATAATATCAGTGTTGCAATACTCTGAACCGGTGAAAAGGCGGTCAATGCGTACCGATTTTGTATGATTAATGAAGTCATTGTTCACTGATGTTGTATTATTGGTTTAAGAATGGGGTTGAAATTGCTAGAGAAATGAGGAAAGAGGGCACATCCGGCAGTGAGGTTACCGAGTGAAGCTGGTACTCGACGATCATTTTTCTGTGACATGATTTAGAATGGCGCTTTATGCATTTCAACTTCTGGCGTGCCTAGTGAGTTGCAAGACTTACATCCGCCAATCCATAAGAGGCTGTTAGCAAGGCTGTTCGAGCTTTGATGGAAAGAGTCAGAACGAAAGTATGAATGCCCACAGTACAAACTTGTCATTTGAAATATAAGATGACTGAGGCATGGATTATCATATTTAGGCTTCATTATTGCAGCTGCACTAGCTAGTCCTGGGTATGTGATTGGGGCCTCAATATAGTTGATGCCAGCCATTGACCTCTGTTTGGAGTTTCTTTTCCTATTGAACCTCATGAACACTTGGCCTGTGGCTTTGCAGACTTGCGGCGACGGTGAGGGCAACTTTGAAGCTAGAACCTTCAGATGACCGTTACTTATCAAATCAACTTGCCCAAAGAATGTCCAAAGACTTTTGATACAGACTATGTTGTATCGCCTGTTTCGCATTCAAGTACTAAATACATAAGTGTATCTAAACCAGGTAAATGCCGTGTTGTATATACCCCCCCCATGTATTGATAGACTGTGTAAGATGATTTGAAGTCATCAAAGATCCACAAACAGTCACTCATTGAGGGTGTAAAGTTTGAAAACAAGGAAGCATGCCGTCCAATAGACCAAAGTGAATTTGGTCGACAAGAAACAAATATCCTGCCAGGTAATGAAGCAATTCACGTCGCCTCATGGCGCTTTCTGGAGATCTTCCTCGTCTCAGGTACCATCAGGAAGGCATATTACGACGAGTTTCCCTTTCCCAACAAGTTCCAAGATGAATAACGGGACAAACAACTCAATTCAGAATGCAAAATGGCGTGATAATTCCGCATTAGAATGTGTGCCCATGTACAAGAGAGTCTGAGAGTTTTTCAAAGGTTGTTTCAGGTGTTGCCCTGACATGAACCCCGTGATAGACCCACTTATCCACTCCCAGCACCAAGACCGTTGTTTGTAGGTAGGATATGGAAATGCAATGCTGGTGAAAATCTCATTTTGGCCGTTTTTGATTTAAATAAAGAACATTATGTACGGAGTGCATTGCCCCGCGTACGGTCTCGAATCAAGGTTAAATACGTGCATATGCAATGCTATATGTTTCAGATTTTGGTGCTCGGCACACCTATGCATATCCCATCGGTACTCTCTCAGTGCTGTAAGTTATTGGGTGAAGAAGATACATCAAGATTAATTTTCCCCCTCTGTCCAAACATATACCTTAAGAGAGCTACCCTAGCGATATCTCCCCTAGCTCTATCTACATTGGCCATCAAAATATGAGGATCAACCCCGTCGAGAACATAGTTCGTTGGTGGAATCGTGATAATGGGGGATAAGTGGAGTACTTTGAGATATGGGAATATGTGATTCATGCTGGTGATAGATATGAACCTATTAGGAAGTTTCGTTTTTATTTGTGCACAATTCATGTGTTCCTGCAGCACTGCAAGACGTTTCGGCGAATTAGAGAGTTTTCAAGTCGTACAGTAGTCAGCATCTACCTATCTGGATGAGAACAACCAATGAAGGGTTATGTTATTGCATGTACTCATATATCATACTTTTGACGACAAGTAGCGAGTAGATGACCCACTACATCTATTTAATTGTACAACACAAAAAGCTTCAAAGTTGTGATACTCCTGGCTCTGTTCAAGGCTTCCGGCGACACTGCCAAGCTAGATATCTTGACTCGATATCGTAAAAGACCATTTTTCTGATGTCACAAAACTTACTTTGCATTTATTTATCCTCATTAGACACGCTCGCTGAACTAGCCTTTTCACACATTTTGCGCCTCGCAAATAATCCATGTACTTCGCGAGGGAACAAGGTTATACTCTCGTGTAGACGGCACGCATCCGCGAGACAAGGGAGATTGAAAGATGCCGAATGGTTAAAATTTACTCTGAAAATCCAAAAGTTGCTAGGATCACCAATAAACTTTCATAACTCAAAATGAATCATTTACGATTCCATCATCACGACTAAATGTTCAATGTCTATACGTGTGTACGTATCAAATTTTTGAAGATAAAGCAATCGATCAGATTGTCTGAAAGTTGCTGATATCATATGATCTCCTTTCTCCTGGTGACATAGGTAGGTTGTCTTGTCAAATTGATTCCAGAGCAGGCTCTAGAATTTCGATGCTCCAGAATCGAGTTAGAAGGATATAGCTTTTATGCGAATTAGTGCCTTGGTTGTAGCTCATACTATCAAACCTAGTGCTCTTTTCGTAAGAGTCTAATTCCATTTTCATCCCAATTTGGATATAGGACAGTCATTCTATATCTATCCAGCTGAAAGGGGCATACCATTTGATTAGTATTGGATGTGACACTAACATACTGGATGCCCAATTCTAATAAGCTTCTATCAGACTCAATCGCGGAACTTAGGAGCTTTTTGAACATCCGTATGCCATGATTCATGAAGCAAGGCAGTCAGAGTTCACCCCAGAGTAGACTGAGGCTTTAGTCCTTTTCGAGGTCAAACATATTAATCATTGAGGGTAAGTATTTGCAATCCTTAAGAAAATTATCATGTTGGTTAAAGAGCTTTGAGGGGTCTGGTGGTCCTGAACTTTCTCCTCCTGGGGCGGGCCTTGCGAGGTCCGGCACGACGGCGGATCATGGCTTTCCCCTCGAGAAATTTGTTTTCACTATATGTAACGACTCCACTCCACCACCATGTTATGCCAGGCAGCCCATGTGTTTGAGGAGTCTTGTCCTGACATGGGAGGAGGGCTATTCGCCCATTCGGAGCTTCGCCTGGAGACAAACCCCAGAAAGCTAAAATTGTTATTTTTGTCTAGAAAGCTACCCTCGTACAGCTAGCTATGCCTACATCGACTGACAAGCTTTCCTAATCCACTTCTGAATAGTATACACAGCATTTTAAAAGCCTTCTCGCTAACATCAATTGAGACAACATCGATGATTACATACATACGAATTATAGACGCCCAAGACATCACGATCCATAGCTTCCGAATCCTTCTGCTGAATATGGAATGCACACAATTGGGCTATGTCATATATGCGGGGTATACCATAAGTTAGAGAGTCTTTCAAAGTCGCCGACATTCGGCACTCATGGAAATGTCCCATCGAAACTAAAGATTCCCATTTTGTACGAATCGCAAGTGCACTTAGTATTCACGTTTCTGAAATGAACCAGAGTCGCCCCTATACCGCCACTCCAACTTTAATGACGCCAAAGCCTTAAGGGTTACGGTATTAGCCTCGTAAATATTTCCATGTTGTGATTTGCTGAATTTGCTTCTACCAATATGATTTCCACTATAGAAGCCATTATATAAGAATCTTCTTCCCTATATTACTTACTCCCTATGGATTGGGGCGATACAATAGCTCCAGCCAGTAGTTCTCGGCCGGAACAATAAAACGTGATTGGACTGATCAGACATTACTAAGTTTTATCCCAACTAGGACTAGCGCATATTGAATCGGAAAAAGATAGTTGCAAAGCAAAAGTGATGGAAAAAAAGGTACGGACCTGAAAAGTGACTTACTCCGTGTTTAATACCCTGTCAGAGAACCCTGTCCTTCCCTACATTCCCTACTTCCCTACTTCCCTACTTCCCTATATCTCCAACTCCCCCCAAAAAAGAAGCTCCTGGCCCCAGCCGGTCTTGGAACAGCCCAATGACATGGTGCTACTCGCATCTCCATGTTACTAGGTGTGCAGAAGGCATTATGGAATTATGGAATTATGGAATGGCTTGCTAGATGAACGGCTAATGTCGAACTCGTAGGCTTAAATAAGAATAGTTTATATTTAATCCCTCGAGGCAATTCGCTGTATCAATACGCCCAAAACAAACACCGCCGACGAGAAATACGTAGGTAGCAGAACTCCCTAGCAGGTCCTTGCCGGATGAAATGCTTTGTTACTTCCACTTTCCCTCTGTTACCAGGTAGATGAGATAGTTCGTGCTGCTAACCTATACATGAAGCCTTAGCATGACGAGGGAAAAAGAATAAAAAAGGAAGAAGATGAAAAACTCATCACAACAAGCAAGAAAAGAAAAACCGTTCATTCCGGCCAGGGTGTGATTTATTCCAACATGTAAAGTTAAAAAAAGGATAATTTGACTCCACCCCGACCACTGTCAACTCAGAACCTATAACCTATAACCTATAACCTATAACCTAGAACTATAACCTATAACCTAGAACTATAACCTACAACCTATAACCATAACCTCACATCTTCGAATGCCCCATTAATTATCGACTTGGTCGACTACCGATCGCAATATCATTCGTCAAAAAGTGGAAGGAGGGCCAACTAACGTCTCAAGGATAACTCATTCGGGTGCGGAAATCTTGCTCCACCCAGAAATCCATCCATATCGATCCATCCATCCATCCATCCATCCATCCATCCATCCATCCATACGTAGCCAGGTCCCATCCCCCATACCCTATTCTCACCCTTCTCTTGGTTGCTTCATCGAACCGAAAGCCTGACTGTCTACCTCATTGCTAGTTGATGTTAATTGTCAATCCAATATCATCCACGCATATCTACCGGGGTCCCTCGCTCCCTTGCACTTTCTTCTTCAAAAGAAAAAAGGCGTTGTTTACTCACGAGAATTACAACTCATTCACAGTCAGTCTTGCAGGCACGAGTCAGAAAACGCCCAACATCTTGAAGGGAATCTTTGCCTGTCGAACTATAGATCCGATCCTTTAACCAGCATCTCATATCTTATCAAGCGAATGCGATCTCTCCCCTGAAGCTTTGAACTTACCAAGCATATTCCCACTTGAAAAACTGGACATCCATAACTTGCACCATCTTTCAGAATCCACATCCACAAAGTTACTCCTCAAAGTTACTCCTCGACTCCTACAACCATCATCCTTCTCAACTCCCCAGAAAATTAGACCTGACGATCTCGACCGCCTCTAAGGCCAACGATTCCCCTTCAAGAATGGTTCTTGTTTCGGAACTTTTAATACATCCACACTACTTCAGAGACACTTTGACGTCGAAACAACCAAATCGTATTCTGGGCAATCAGTAAAGTTTACCTGCCGAGAACCCTTATTTTTTACACCTTGTCCGCCCACTCGCATGACCCGCAAATTGTGTGAGCTAGAACTAGATCCAGGTATATCACTTATTTAGTCTCTCTACCAAGCTCACAGTTTCCCTCCACTGCTCGTGCGCCCCACCATTCCGTGTTTGGGTAATTCGATCAACAAGCTTCATTCACATTCCGCGCCTCAAAGAGTATGTATATGACCTCTACCTGCTCATGTCGATACTTCATTAAATCATCCAGTCTTCAATTCTCTGACTTACTCAGTTCTTTTTGAGAGTTTCGTGCTATTCCTGTACATAGTTGACAAGACCAACGTAGCTTTCCTTTTCGTGGAATCAACTCTTATATTACTTTTCTTCACCGGGCCGTCTCCAAGTCAGTTCGCCAATTGTCACTCTCGCTCAACGCTATTGCGCTGGACGCTTTGTATTTTACACCGTCATCCCAGTTGAGTCTTTAGTCGGCTTCACTTGTATATCAAGCAATCAAATCACACCGTCTGCTTTCCATACCTGAAATTTTCGGATCGTCATTGAATCACAACTTCCTCAAGAGACACAACCGACCACTTCCTCTTGAGTCTAGACTACTTCTACTTCGGCAGAATACAGCCAGAAATACATAATGGACGTCATGGAGCTAGTCGAGAACGAGCAAAACGCACGCCCTTTTCAATGCGATTGGAATTCATGCAGCAAGGTACGGAGCTACTGGTGTACTTAATACGACGTCAGCTGACAGTATATATAGAGCTTCAACAGAAAATCTGATCTTCAACGTCATTATCGCATACATACAAACGAGAGGCCATACTCATGCGTAACACCAGGATGCGGCAAAAGCTTCATCCAAAGAAGTGCTTTAACTGTGCATATCCGTACACACACCGGCGAAAAGCCTCATCAGTGTCAGCACATTGGTTGTGGAAAAAGATTTTCTGACGTAAGAATTGCACACGAGAAGTTGACGAGATCATTGCTAAAAGATGATCATATAGTCATCTAGTCTTGCCCGCCATAGACGTATTCACACAGGCAAGAGACCTTACAAATGTGCACACGATGGCTGCCTAAAGAGGTTTGTCCTACAGAATATCATAATTTGACCAGCACTAACACGCAATAGCTTTTGTAGAAAAACTACCATGGTCAAGCATCAAAGACGTTCCCATCAGCGTGGCATTCATTCATCAGAACTTGATGACGGCGAGACTTCCGATTCAGACAGTGGCGAATCACCAACCACCCCTCAACATCATTCTAGTCAAATTCAATGGCCTCAGCATCTAACAGTGCCAGGTGTTCCAAGTGGACATCAGATGCACAGAGCACACTCATTTGCGGATTTTGGACAACAGATTGATGGATACCAAATGTCACAAGGATACAGCCACAGACACAGTCTTTCAGGAGGCCCTCAGGCCTACGGTATTCCCGATCAGCACCAGCAAATCATGCAAAGACAGGCTTCTCTTCAACATACTTCTTATTACGTTCCAGAGCAGAACAACCCCGGTGTTGCGACTTTAAACACCAACCCAGCTCCGATTCAGACCTACCACATTCCTCGCCATTCCATGGAGAGACATCCCCAGGAGATGTTGCAAAGCAGCCCTGGTAGTTACTCTCCCCACTCCCGTGCCAGCCCAGTCTCCCAAGAGCCATACTATACGCATACACAGCACCACATTCCTGCTTATGCTATTCATGGGCAATCTCCTACCGACACACAGCCATTGATCAATTATCCGCAGCATTTGCCACAACCTCCGTCAATGCAATCGCCACAAGCACCGCACCATTTGCAACAACATTATCCACAACCTCCCGAGCATGGCCAATGGTACGAAAGTACTCCCTACCAACAACCTGAAGTCATCAGCCATGTATCAATGTACCCTCAAGTCACCGTCTTCAGCGATCCATGGCCTAAACTCGAGAGCTTCGATGATCCATCATTACAAATGCCCAGTGCCCGCATTGAGAATTTGTAACAACAATGAATAGTCAAATCGACATCCACTCATCTCCAAATTTTCTTTTTGGCGATTGTATCATTAATCAGACGGGATGTTTCATTTCATCAACAAAAGTTTTCACTTCTTCGAGTCTCCGCGTTATACCTAGTACATTAACGATATCCACGATTGCATCTCGTCCTCAAGCTACACAGTATCTAGCAGACCACCACAATCTCATGGCGGTCTCATATCTTTAATCAGCAGTGCACATTCGTGCAGCTCGCCATCACGGGACAGTCAGCTTGTCTTGACATTTTCATCTTAGTTTTTTTTTACTTTCATTCATTCTATTATTTTGTAATGGCGTGCCTTCGGTTTTGCATACAGTCAAAGCTGGATCTAATAATTGACTCAGAAAGAGGAGGAGCAGGAGATGAAGGAAGGGTACATAATGACAAGGTGTGGTATTATGGGCGCCACGAATTCAACGAGGTCATTTCTTTCATGTTGTATATTTTGGGCATTGGCGAACTTACCGTGTGTTATTTGTATTTGGCGGCTGGTCATCTCGGCTGGATTCGCCACGTGTATCAATACTTATTTGAATATTTATTCGTTTTGGAGTGGAATCGGATTGGGTATTTGGTTGGGAGGGCAACCTTGTGTATTGATAGCAGTAGTAAATAGTTAGATACCTAGTAATTTGTATGATCTGTATTGGAAAGGACTTCTCTTTCCTTGCTTGTGAATGGTACTCTTACAATGAAGAAAAGCCTGGTTGAACTAATTACTATATATTTCCGACACAACATCACATCGAGCTGGCAACTGGCGAATATGTGCATCAGGTAAGGAATCCTTCAAAATCTCCATCCCTCTTTCTCACCATCCTCGCGATTTCACAATTGCTAACAATTTTTGATAATTTGCATCCTCTTCACTTATCTGAGGTAAAGCCCTAGGAGAAGTTCTAAGTAAGGAAGAGTATCTAGTATGTTTAGCTATAGTTTAGTTTATAATATACTATGACATCGGGGGTAATAAAGAAAACTACTCGTATATGAATATCTTTACCCTGGTAACCTTATAATCCTTCCTAAATTTTCAAGGGGATTGTACCTGTCTTTTGACCGGCTTTGACCAACACGTGGTAGTGGGCGGTTCAAACCCGGATCTAGATCGAAAATAGTCTAGTGGATTAATAAGCTGCGGCATCAAACAACCTTCCATGATGCACTAATTTGCCTTCCGTGTTCCATTTTGGCTTCAACAATTAATAATCTCCTCGACACAATCGAGGTTCAACAAAACTTCATTTCCTAGAATTTGTTGGTTAGGTATCGCACAGTCAAAAGTAGTTGCTAGGAGGAGTGTCCGAAAATACTCATTGGGTGGTGGTTGAAAGGAGGAGTTCATAAGCTAATTCTATCTGGTTCTGCCAGTCATGGCAACACCATCTCATGGATTGTCTAAGATGGCTACAGCTTTAAGGCTTCTCGTCCGAAACGCACCAGAAACACAATGTATGAAGATGATTCTGCCATCGGCGCGAATGGTTCGTAGGAACAAAGACTTCATCTCCATCGGACTAGCCCCGCTAACACCACCACAGCTCTCGACAAGATCGATTCCTGTACCATCTTCAAACGCGCACGTTGACTCGACATCTCCAAGTCTTCGACATGTCTTTACCTCGGCCTCAAAACGTATCTCTACTGCAAACTCGACGGTTCCTGTCTCATCTATTTTGGCGATCACACATGGTAGGCAAATGTCTATGTCTCCGTCTCTGGGGCCGCAGCAATACCGGCCCTTTACAAAACTCTTCAAAACTCAGCAAAGATCTCTCTTCGGTGGTAATACGTCACACAATTTACTCTCTCATCTGGAAGTAACTGCCAACAAGAATCCGACTAGTGCTACCGCGCAGAATGCTCTCTACCAAGCTCTTTTGAAGGCGAATATGCCCGCCATCATTGCCGACAGATATCAGACCGGTCATTTCGCATCGAACGCTGCTTGTGAAGCTGCATACCATAGAGCATTAGGCATGTTGGGACAAATGAACGGTGGCATGGCGAATGCTTCCGGACAACCAGGAAATCTCGGCAACGCCCAATTACAAGCTATCGGTCAAGCAGTTGCTGCTAATTCTCGGGGTGGTAACATTGCTATGTCTCACGGTCAAGCATCAGGCTCGGGCGACAAAAACTCTCCTATGCATGTTGTTGTTGATGAAACTATGGGTAACACCATTTTTAAATGGGTTAAATTCGGTCTCTACTTTGCACTTTTCACCTACATCAGTTTGGTCGTCGTTGCAATGATGATTGAAGGCTTTAATTCTGTTGTTGTTAGAAGGCCCGGAGGGGCCAAAGCCGACAATGAGGCCAAGGCTGAACATCAAAATGTCAGGTTTACGGATGTTCATGGCTGTGATGAAGCAAAGGATGAACTTCAAGAACTCGTAGATTTTCTAAAGAACCCGGAAAAGTTCTCTACACTCGGTGGAAAATTGCCAAAGGGTGTCTTGTTGGTTGGCCCTCCTGGAACTGGTAAGACTTTGTTGGCTCGTGCCGTTGCTGGTGAGGCTGGCGTTCCATTCTTCTTCATGTCTGGTAGTGAATTCGACGAGATATATGTTGGTGTTGGTGCGAAACGAGTACGGGAACTCTTTGCTGCTGCAAAGGGCAAATCACCTGCCATAATCTTTATCGACGAACTAGACGCTATAGGAGGAAAACGAAATGCTCGAGATGCCGCATATTCTAAGCAAACTCTCAATCAATTACTCACTGAACTGGATGGATTTGCACAAAACAATGGCGTTATCATCTTAGCTGCTACCAACTTTCCCGAATTGCTAGACAAGGCTCTCACAAGACCTGGCCGATTTGATCGAAATGTCGTCGTCGGCCTACCGGATGTGCGTGGCCGATTGGCGATTTTGAAGCATCACATGCAAAAGATCATTGCTTCTCCTGATGTCAACATTGAAACACTTGCTTCTGGTACACCAGGCTTTTCCGGCGCTGAACTCGAGAACATCATCAATCAAGCTGCTGTACACGCCAGTAGAGCGAAAGCAAAAGCGGTCTCCATGTTGGATTTTGAATGGGCTAAGGACAAGATAATGATGGGCGCCGAAAGAAGAAGTATGGTTATTTCTCAAAAGGAAAAGGAGATGACAGCCTATCATGAAGCAGGTCATGCGCTCGTTCTTATGTTCACCCCTGGGACAGATCCGTTACACAAGGTTACAATCATGCCTCGAGGCAGTGCTCTTGGTATAACCTTTCATTTGCCAGCGATGGATAAATACTCAATGACCTTGGACGAGTATGAAAGTAGGCTCGATGTGTGCATGGGCGGTAAGGTTGCAGAAGAAATCAAATATGGTCCCACAAAGGTTACCAGTGGAGTTTCTGGGGTAGGTCTTCTTTCTTCCACTATTAATACTTTCAGAACGCGGAAGCATACTAACTTTGTGAATAGGACCTCCAAAGCGCCACAAGTCTTGCATACAACATGGTCACTCGATTTGGAATGTCGCCTGAGCTTGGAAACGTAGATTTGATGACAAACTATGAACAATTATCTGCAGGAACGAAGCTCCTTGTCGAATCTGAAGTTCGCCGTGTCATTGAGGAGGCTCGTCTTCGTGCTGTCAAGCTCATTGAATCCAAGCGTAAGGAGTTGGATCTCCTGGCTAAAGCCTTAGTGGATTACGAGACGTTAGATAGGGAAGAAGCCTTTAAGGTTATAAGGGGGGAGAAGTTGGAGGGTAGAGCGATCGCTCCTTCAGGGAGCATAAAGTTACCTGAAAGTATGGGTACTTCACTGGCGCCAATTCCTGGAAGCCAAGGGCCTGTGGATAAGGGACCCAAGGGACCACCTGGCGGAGGTGCTCTTGCACAATAAGGTATGGTAAGGAAAGATTCACTCAACTCATCGGAAAGGCGTTTCGGTGGTGGTGGATACACATGTAAATGTGTTGTTTATTAGTACGACTAGGCATTAAAGGTGATCTCATGGCTCGGGGTTATCATAGCATTAATTCTTTTTCATAAGCAAAGAGAATGGGAATTTGGTCTCTGTCTTAGGATAGTGATGCCAGCGCTAGAAATTTTACTATTTTTTTTTTTTAAGAAAAAACTTGAGATGGCACACGGTCTAGGGAGCTGAACGAACTAATGGACTCTCCGATGACCAATCAGCAGTGTCTACTAAGGATATATTAGGCAAGGTCACGATTTATGAATAGAGGTGGAAATACCGGATGAAGAATTGTTATGGAAATGCTTGATAATGGTAAGTCACTGTGCCTCAAGCATTCTTCACACGACAAGGATTTGCAAAAAAAAAGATCGCGATGGACATCGTCTCGAAATAGATATGCGAATTATCTAAAGTATAGGCAATGAGATGTAGCGAATCGTCGAATTTTTGAACTTTTTTATAAATAAGGAGAAAATCTGCCTCATGGTATATATATCATTTCTGTGCTTCTAGTGATGCCCTGGTCAATGTATACTATACCTCTCTCTGTGTGTGTCCATTTTTATTCCTTTGCATATCCTCTTTTCTTGTCGGTTTACGGAGTAGAGATTCTAGGTATGCGGGTCTTGGGGTGAATTTCTGTGCTAATGTTTATGGGCTACTTGTGATTATGGCTGTGCTGTGCTATTGGCTAATTTGTTTCTTTTGAGGAGGTTGTGCCGTAAAATTAAGGTTTTTAGGATGGTTTTAGGATGTTGGTTATTGGATACGGTCCCGTGTTATATTACTTTTCATGCACGATGTTGGTGTTGATGTATCGAGCACTAGATGATGTGATTGTGCGATGGAGTTGCTGGAGTTATTGGGAAGAGATAGAGATGTATTGTTCGGTTATGTTATAGCATGGTGATTGATCTTATGGTGATTACAGGATGGAGCTGGTTGTGTCTAAGTAGTTGGTTACACTTTATTCGGTGGTAGTCTATGGTTTGTGGGTTTAGATTTTGATGCGACAATGGGTTACTTTGGGTTTTAGCAGGTGGATGGCTTGTGTTGAGGCAGATTTTTGGGGATTTTGTCTAGTGAGATTGGTGATGGCTTGTTAGTAGTTACTACCGTTGCTACTATCATCAAATCATCCTAATACCTCTGTCTCGGATTAAGCGGTGCAGAAAACATCGGGGCAAATACTTGGTTTCCAACTAACTCGTTAGATAATTGGACTGCTAAAAACAACGCTTAAACTATCTATGCACAAATCTTCAGCATTTACCGAGAGCTTGCAATAGTATTCAACGCTGTTGGTTTTGTCCTCTTCATCGCCGAGCTCTCACCGCGTTCCTCTCGACTTCTCTTATTATTCTTTCCATGTCCTTTTTTTTTTTCGCAATTCACCTACATACTTCTGCTGATGCAAATTATTATCATTTCGCATCTCTGTTTCTCCCAACTCCTCATTCTTTATCAGAATGTTAGTATTATCGACAAATCCATCTTCATCCTTTTCACGAGCAAATATTCTTGGATAGCCTCTACTCTGCTCTCCATCATCCCAATAAAACTCGCCTGACGTCCCCCAGTCTACCGCTCCCACCATCTCAACCCCATTCACCAGTCCCATCAACGGAACCCTTCTTCTCCTCCTCACCTCATCCTCCAACTCCGCTTCTAACCATACAGCCGGATTCGCAGCATAACAAAAAAAAACATCCACTCCAGAGTAAACTGTTCATATTTTACAAATCTAGCCAAAAAATCATCCACAGTCCATCCTCTATCCTGCATATGTTTTCACTCCTTCGCGTCCGCTTTTCCAGTAAATAGCTCCCACTTGTTCCAAACCCGAGACTATATATGCCGCTTTCTTAAAAAAAAAAAAGGGATAGGAAACCTGGTTTCGATAGCGTTGGATAATATATCTGGAATAATCCTAACATTCCACTTTCCTGTGTGGGATCTAGATGCGGATCCGTGAATTCAGCATTATGCACGCTGAAATCTCACATTGCAGGCGCGGTTAGCGAAATATATGGAGTGCTTGTATCTGGAACGTAACGTTGGAAATAAGATGGCGGTTAAGAGGTAGTGTTCAATGCTCTTTCCGAAACGCAAATCGGATGTATATGTCAATGCTTCCCGGAGTATTATTGTTGCAGTTATTATGTGGTTGGGTAATGATTGAGAGTCAAGGGATACAAAGGAGAAGGAATGAGGAAGAAGGAAGGAGGAAGAGTGTAATGACTAACCGGGAGAAACAGGTGTTATTGTTTGAGTGAATAGAAAAGTGAATGCTGGAGTTGGGCATCTTGGATCCTTGGATTATTGGATGCATTGAGGAGAAGCTTGGAGTTAGAGAGAGAGAGGAGAAAGGCACGCCAGGGCAGGGAAGGGAAGGGCAGGAAGGAGAGCGAGCTTCGAAAGACTTGCTGAGTCGCTTATTAGGACAATGACTGTGTCAATCAATAGGTGTTTCTGAGTGTCGGGCTTTTTGCTCGAGGTATGGGAGATTTCCAGAGTAAAGTCATGATGGGGTAGATTAGAATTGCTTTGGTACTCAAAGGTTTCAAGATGGATGGTATAAGTATAAGGTTTTAGGGGGCTTGTAAATGATGATTATTGGCGTGTTCTAATCTGATACCTAAGCAGGTGCAGAATATAAACTCCTAAAAAGAAAAAGCTGAAATCCAAGTTCAATAAACTTCTAAATCACAGACAGAAACCCAAGACGATGCTCTACTCCAAAAAATCAACAAATTTCTCAGCATTCTCCCTCCCAATCTTCAACCCATTAGCCTGAAACCCCGGATCTTCATACCCAATCGACACCGCCACCAAAATCTCCAGATCATCACTAATCCCACATTCTGTCCGCAGTAACTCAGGATAGCCCGTCTGACAAACTTGCACGCATGAACCCACTCCCCTCTCCGTGAGCGCCAGTAACCAGCTCTGTAACCACATCCCAACACTTACTCTATCCGCATTCGTCAGACTTTTATCAATACACACTATTGCCCCGACAGGTGCATTGAAAAACTGATAGTTACGAAGGACGGCTGCATTGCGAGCTTTTGAATCGGATCGCGAAATACCCATCGCTTCGCCATAGAGTTGTCGACCAACTTCAGAGCGATAGTGTGTGTATGCCTTAGGGAGGGGAGGAATACTAGGAGTGGATTTTGATGCTTCGGCAAATAGCTTAGATTTGAGGTTTTCGAGGGGCTCGCCTGTTAAGAGGAAAATACGTTGGGGTTGGATGTTTGAGTTTGAGGGGGCGAAGCGAGCTAGGTCTAGAGTGGATTTTATGATGGATTTTGGGACGGGAGTTGGAAGAAAGGCTCGGCTTGAGTGTCGTGTCATGAGGGATTCTTTTAAGCTCATCTCAGGGTAAGTTGGCTGTTGGATGGCTTCTATTTCGATGGCGTGTGGCATGGTGATTTACGCTTTGGTTGATTGGTTGGTTGTGTAGTTGTATGGTGAAGGAAATTTCAAATGTCTCCAGCTTTTGGGAAGTGCTTGTAAGTGCTTTTGATGCTCTTGTAGATAATGATTTTGATTTCTAGAGTACACACAACTATGTGACCTCCTTCCTCAATATATACTGCTCACCTCCTCGCTCTCACGGAATCATCAAAGGCTTCAAATCCCGATCTCAACTTACTCAACTCCTATACTATGACATTGTAACATTGGATACGCCATATATGATTATGGCATTATGCATGCAGTGTATCACAAGTCGCATCAATATCTGCATCTCCGTGGATCTTGACCAATGGACTCTGTGGCTCACTAATACAAACTTGAGTGACTACACCCATCGGCTACTCTTTTTCCTTTTTACTGCCGACTTTGGAGTACGAGTCCAGAAATGTCCTTGATATCGGTGCTTAGCGGTTGGTATTTTCCGACAAAGAAGGTGGCTCATGATCATGGAGGAGAATATATCGCCGGTTCTCTTGTCATAACTTTTATCAATCAAGCCAGACTTCTGCACTCTAGAGAGAATTAATTGATTGAATTATAAATATTTATTAATATTGCCATGTTGTCATGTTGTGTTGAAGAAGATGTTTTTGATCAAACGTCGTCAAAGCAAACATCAGATTAGATGTGAGATTGGCGCCTTAGGATTAGGCATTGGTGGACAGATGTAGGGTACCACTGGTGCACCACATCTTCTTTGCTCATCATTCAATCCTTCAATTCCAACTGAACAACAAGACCACTCTTTTATTTCATTGAGAGGTATCAACATACCATCCATCTCAATATTGAGTTCAAGATGGATTTCCTTCAGGTATAACTATTCCAGTCATATTCCCATTGAGCCATTTTAACAAATGCTAACTATGACTTTTCAGCGCCTTGCGCGTTTCCTTGACAGGCCACTATTCCCATGGAAGAAGCTCATCGTTGGATTCTCTCTCGCACAATACCTTTTCGAAGGGTTTCTGTCTCTCCGCCAGTATCAAATCTTAAAACAAACTCGTCCTCCCAAGGTCCTCTCAAATGAAGTCTCTCAAGAAGTTTTCGACAAAAGCCAGGTAAGTCATTCAATCTCAGCCTTACCATCTCCCCACCACCCACTGACCTCCAAAAGGCCTATGGACGCGCAAAAGCACAATTCGGTTTCGTAGCAGGACTCTATGGACAAATTCAAAACACGGCATTCATTTATTTCGACGTTCTTCCCAAGCTTTGGGATCTCACTGGATCATGGCTTTTACGGTTTGCACCCGCTCGATTTACCGGTGAAATTTCTCACTCCATCGTCTTCGTTCTTACTTTTGTTATAATTCAGCAAATTCTTTCGCTGCCTACTTCTATTTATCAGACTTTTGTACTAGAGGAGAAGTTTGGTTTTAATAAACAGACGCCTAAGATCTTTGTTATGGATATGTTGAAGGGACAAATGTTGGCATTCACTTTGACTCCACCAATTCTCGCTGGTTTCCTTACTATTATCCAAAAGACTGGACATCAATTCTTCTACTATTTATGGTTGTTCGGTGCTGGGCTCCAGGTTTTCATGATTACCATTTATCCAATTACGATCTTGCCCTTGTTTAACAAGCTTTCCCCTCTCGAACCTGGAGAATTGAAGGATGGCGTGGAGGCTTTGGCTAAACGATTGAATTTCCCTCTTCACGAATTACATGTTATCGATGGCAGCAAGCGCAGTGCTCACAGCAATGCTTATTTCTTTGGTTTGCCATGGAAGAAGCATATTGTCATCTATGATACTTTGATCGAGAAGAGCGATACACAAGAAATTGTTGCTGTTCTTGCACATGAACTCGGTCACTGGAGTCGCGGACATACTACAAAGCTCTTTGGGATCTCCCAGGTATGCAGACTTGAGGTTGTTATTACGACTTATTGTTAACTTTTTACAGGCCCATTTCTTCTACATCTTCTCCCTATTCTCCGTCTTCATCAACAACCATTCCTTGTACCAATCCTTTGGTTTCCACAACGAATTTCCAATCATTATCGGTTTCATCTTATTCTCTGACGCGCTTGCCCCTATGGACACAGTCATCAAGCTCTTGATGAACATCCTGAGTAGAAAGTACGAGTTTGAAGCAGATGACTTCGCACAAGGACTTGGATACCAGGCTGAGCTGGCTCGTTCATTGATCAAATTGCAGATCCAGAATTTGAGTACTATGGATGCGGACTGGATGTATGCGAGCTACCATTTCTCGCATCCAATTTTGTCGGAGAGATTAGGTGCTCTAGGATGGAAGTCGAGTGGTCCAGTTGCACCAGCAGCTGCTAAGGATGAGAAGGTTTCAAACGATGAGAATGTCGCAAAAGCTAGTGGTAGAGAACTGTAGATGTACAGTATAGACTGATTTAGAAGAATCCTGTTAACCTCGCTAAAACGCATCAAAAATTTGTGACTTGTAGTTCGCCATGCTATTATGCTTTGGATTGTTTCTTCACTTCCTTCGCTTTCAGTTCCGCCTTGTGTCTCGCCCTTTTCTCCACCTTTCGTGCATCCTTCTCCTTTCTGGATAATTCTTTCGGGGCCTTCGTGAAATCCGGAACTTCCTTCGTCCTTGGTTCATCATCGAGATCGCTATCAACGTCCCTGTTTTTCACCTTTTGAACCCCTGAGCCTCCATCTCCCTCCTCAATACTCTGCTCTCTCTCGAATTCCTCCTTATCCTGCCACCCATCTACATCCATTTTGTCACCCTCCCCACTTCCTTGCACAGTCCCATCATCCATACCATACGCAATCTCCACAACATTTTCTTCCTCAAGTTCTAACGTCGGCGCAAGCCATTCTCCACGTAGACCGGCTTCAACTCGTTGGAGATTGTGAATTGTGACGCTGGAGTGACTACTGCCGATTGTAGGACCCGTAGGCTCGAGTTTAGCGTTGGGGAGAAGATATGGTGTGCTGGATGTGAGAGAGAGATAATCTTGGAGGTATTTGAGAGCGATTGTTTGATTGACGGGGATTGAGGGGATGGATTTATGGGGTGGAAAGGCGGACATCTTGATTAACTTCTAGATATAAAAACAACTGATCGTAGCTGTAAAGATTAGATGTTCGAAGCTCGTCCAAGAAACTGATTTTCGAAGTGGGAAATCGGGGAGTTTCATGAAGCTCGAGATTTTTTTGCGACTGAGGCGGGGAAATTGTCCGCTAGCGTGTTTTTTTGATTTTGATACCGCATGGTAGTAACCTCGAATTCTGGAACGGATCAAGATATTCACAAATTGAAGCAAAATGTTGTGTCTACGCTGTTCTCATGGTCTTAGGGCTACTCCAATTGTATCGAGGGTACTTTCACAGTCAAGCTCTATGCTGGTGAAAAGGTAGATTTTCACCAATTCATCACACAGCCACACATCTCCATACTCACAACTTTCCAGAACATTCACATCAATAACACCCCTCCGACCAACGTTATTTCCCGGCGCATTCAAACCCACGTCATCGGTGATCATTGCTTCAGAAGCAGCATCATTAGATCTCCTCCCAAAAATCTCAACACATCCAGCATTGAGCACAACACAAGTACGTTGTGGACCTAGAAATACATTTAGTCCGAGTCATTTTGTTAGGAAGAGGAGGCATGGATTTTTAAGCAGAATTAAGACGAGGAAGGGGAGAGCGACGTTGCAGAGGAGGAAGTCGAAGAGAAGAAGTACCTTGAGTCACTAGAGAAAGAATATTAGTGATGGGACCAACAAAAGTCGCCGAGGTGGAACTGCGGGGCAATATGAAGGCATACTGGGAAGCAGGGACGATGAGCGCAGCAATTACGTGCATGATACTCGGCATGATCGATGACGATGTTACGGTGGTTGTGTCTGTGGATTTTGAGCTGCATGAAGTGTAAGATACTGAAGATATGAATGTGTACATCAAGACTTCACATCCGTTGGATGGCCATGTATGTGGACTGGTCGCTCAACACATGAAAGAATTTCAGCCAAAGCAATGTAGGAAGTCTTCGGATCGACGGGCTATACTGTTTTGAACCACGTGGTGAATTCTACACTGATGAAGCCTCGTAATGATGGAAATATACGCGCCATCTACATTCAGGTGATTTTGCTAGGCTCTTTTCGGTCCCGCAAGTGTGCAGTACATTCAATGAAGCCACCCATTGGGCTAAATCACGTTCAAATCTCATTCTTGGATGGGGCTTGGTTAGTTTGTTTGAAAGTGCATGTGTTATTCGACTTCGGGCTCTTGGAAGTTCAAGCTTGTGTGGTCTTGAGCCTGGCCGAATGGCTGTCGGCCTCGATGTTGCCCGTTCCTTTGTTTTTATTGGTATTTGTAGAGATATGGTCTTCTGTGTGGTTAGCCTACTGTAGATGTTGCCGCAGTTTTCTTGTTCTTCTAAACTTTGAACAAGTGTTTATCCTCAGTACACCGATATCGCATTCAAAGATAGTTCATTACTGTGGCTTGAGCATTCTTGTTTTGGGAAGTTGCCATTATACGCTTTAAGGCATTATTGATATGTTGTTTGCGATTTATGCACTTGTTGGATAGCCACTTTGCCGCGAGCGGCCCTTGGCTGACCCTTCACCTTTTTCATGGCCATTTTGTTGTCTTTTGGTTACCTCACTGAATACATGAGCCCCATTGCAATGTCCTCAATATAATGCAACAATAAATCTAACAATATTGAATCCGCTTTGCGTGTGGCTTTGAAAGGCCTAGTTGTAATACGCAGGTCGAATATATCATTGACCTGCCTCCAGTGTACCTAGTCGGCATTATGGCTCACGATAAACCAACAATGCTAGTCTGACTTGAATAAGTATAAAGGACTTGATGAAATTTGTTTTGTAGTTTCAGTCTCATCAACCTCAATACTTATCATCCCCTCTTATTACTTCTCTAAAATCGCTTTCCCAAACTGACAAATATATTGGAATATTGAGATGCCGACAAACTAAATCGCCACAAACATGAGTTCAAGAAATCGTACTGTTGGCCATGGAAGATTCGAAAGTGATGGTAAAGTCAGCGAAATCATTGATATGTACGGGGATATGAAGGTCTCTAGGCATACTTCTCGAAACACAGGGTCTGGTGATAAGATCGATCCCAAGACATCCAGAGGACGCAATGCGCCACATGTTTCTACCTGGTCTGCATCCACTGCTAGTACGGCATCGGATGGTGATAGAACATCTAGAGTAAATTCTAAGAGATCAGAATTGCCAATTCAGTCTAAAGGACAAGCTCAGGGATTTGAAGATAAATATTTCCGTCCGAGTAGCTCTGTGATGAGGTCACCCCCACGTACTCCTGAGAGACGTACGAGTCCCTCAGCAAAAAGTAAGGCAAAATCTTTGATTCTACCTATACTCTTACTAACACCAGGTAGATCGGGTGATACAGGGCTCGGATGACAATACTACCACCAAAAATACCAACAGACAGAACACTCTCCGGGATCTCGAAGGGAATAGCGAAAAACCTCTTCCATTAACTCCTGGTTCCAGAAGAAGAGTCGAGACTGCTGCAAAAGCGCTCAAGGATGCACAAGAGGAAAGGAGGCAGGAGAGGAATGATAATGGAAGGCAAGCAAAAACAGATAAGCTTCCTAGAGAACCCGCCCCAGTAAGGAGGTAGACGGATACGAGGGCCTTAAGGCCCGAGGGAAGAAAGTGTAAGACCGAAGAAAAGATAGGAAGAGCACTGGGAAGAAAGAGCAAGAAAGACTCGTCGCAGAATGGATCCGTCCTCTAATACGAGGAGAACTGATAAGTCGCCAAACGGAGATCGCTCTAGAAGAGATGAGCAGTTTTTTTTTCTTCAAACTTTTCTCGGGTTACTGCAACTTTAGTATGAGATTAGATCAGATCCATAAGAGTCCTGTTTATTCCTGCATGTTTAATCTTTTTCATGCACAGTTACCTCGCGTAAAGTTACTCTGTTGTCATTACTGGGCGTTTTAAACGTTATGTGTGGAATCTTGTTTCGCATTACTGTATGTTGTGGTGTTAGAGTTTTCATTCTGATAGTGGAATGATCTCTACCGATATTGAAAGGAGTCAACGGTGCATGTTTCACTGTTCGTTCAATACTTGTACTTGAGGTTACTTTACAGATTATAAGTCTTAACTCCAGTAGCCTATATTCCACTGCGATATTGTGCCCGGAAGAAAAATTCGTTTTATGGAATCATGGGTTTAGAGCTCAAGAATCTCTCGATTTCTCTCACTGGTCTCGGAAATTAGAAATTAGAAGTTGGGTATCATGGGCTTGAGATGCTCGGACTGCTGGAAAATAAATTATAACTTATTGATGCTACAAGTGTAAACATTTGTAAGCACCTGAATACCCAATACTCATGTGCGGATACTCTTCCTCTGATTTTGAGTCCCTGGGTCTTGAATCCTTGTTGGGATATCTATGTTATGTGCATGCATCTGCGACTCTGTTGGGGGAACCAAAAATGGGAATTGAGTGCGAAATGAAGTTTGTTGATTTTACTCGCCGTGAAGCTTCATCACATGTGGATATTCCTGTGGTCGATAGCTGTTGGGAAAGGGGTTAATGTATAGCTAGGGAAGATAAGTTTGTCTGACAAAAACACATGGGTGTGAAAAGAGTCACCGGTGGTATCTGCAGCGTTCAGGAGTACAAGCGCCACAGAGCATTTAAACAGTTATCATCTTCTATTTCTGCAGCGATTTTTGAGTAACATATCCATTTGACGAAGGCAGGTGTGACCATCAAGTCGAACATCAAGGCTAGCACATCCGGTTGAACATGCCGGAAGGGGACGGTATTCTTATCAGGAAGAGGGGGATATTGCTTGCTAAGGATAGGGTTTTTTAAATGTTGTCGCATCTTCAGATTATTGATACCTCTAAAGTAAAGCAGTGCAACCCCTCCATTTTCTTCTTAAACTCCTAAATCAGAGTCTGCCCCTCAAATTGCTTATTGGATCTTAATTAAATTGTCTCTTGCTATCTTTCAAACCAACCATCTATTTGTATAATAAACAACAGTATGTAAGAAATCCACTTCGCCATTCCTAAATTCACTCTAACACCTTCCATTTCCCAATCTTCTCCGTCTCCGCAAACCCACCACCTCATCTCACATCCCTCTTTCTCCTCTCCCCCTTCACCCTAACCAACCAAAACCCACCCCAAAACCACCGCAAACCCTCCCACCACAACACGCGGCGCTACACCTATATTAATATTCTCCCCCGCATTAATACTTGTGCCCGTGGCGAAACCACCTGAATCAGTCAATGTGGCGCTTGTTCTTGTGGTTGTTGGTCTGCGTGTGCTGATGCTGGTGCTGTTGTGGCTTTTGGTTGTTGTTAGTTTGGGTACATTCGGGTTTGGAGGGGAGGGGATTTTTGGAGGGGATTGGACGGAGAGAATAGGATAATGTAGGAATATGATATGGTAGAAAACTTACAAAGTTCCGTTATTGCTAAGACTTGTAATTGGACGGCTGGAGAATGTTGAGATTGATGTTGGGGTTGATGTTGGCGCTGATGGTGCTGATACTGGTGCCGACACTGGTGCTTGCTGTGATGTCCGTGCTGGTATTTGTGTTTGAGCTTGTACTTGAATAGAGAATACGAGGAGGAAAGTGAGGATAGCGAGGAAGAGTACGGGGAGATTGGTACGAGTCATTATTTAAATAAGAGGTATTCTTTGTTTATAGTATCTGTTATTGAAGCTAGGAGGAGAAATTTTCTTTTGAACCTGGAGTGTAGGTTGTAGATTTATGGGAGAAATTCTCTGGTAGATTTTATTTTATAGACCTGTCTACTCGAGGATGTATATGTGAATCCTACAGCGTCACATCACCTACGGCTACGCGCCACAATTCCAGAAGTTTGATAAATGTTTCATTCATAGTATGGTGTTGTTCAGATATGCGGGAAGATATCTGTAGGGGATTTATTTTTCTTGGAGTTTTACATTCCAATCACCAACCCTCCGCGCTCAAGTCCGCCACGCAACGTTTGAATAACCTTTCGCCGGATCTATCCCGCAATTGAATCTTAGATATCGAAGAACACTTAGGAAGAGGCCCAAGTAGGTATCACGGAAAAATGACACCACTCTTACGAATGGTTAATTGGGTTATATATAGAATATTCCCGTGACAGTAGGATATATCAGCATCATGCGGGTACACAAACAACCTAACATTCATTCACATTCCTTGCGGTCAATTTTTGCTGACCCGTCCAATCTCTTGCATCTCGACTCTCTATTTTCTTTTAAAGTTGCGCAAACTTTGCAAGCATATACGCTGCCTCTGCCAATGTCTTATGTTGACCAACACGAGCGGTGGTCCTCCTCCAAAGGGCATAAATTCTCAAGGGCTAGGCTTGATAGAGTCCCATCTATCGGGATTGAAGGATTCAATGTCGGGACTGAATACGGATTCAGAACGATGTAAGCCGTAGAAATTTGCCCATAGCTCCGTGCCTTTGGGAATGTAGATTGGAGAGTTGCCGTCTTTCCCCCCTCCTTTTGGTAGAGAAGTATCTTTCAATGACATGCGAGTAAGAATTGGAAAGGTCGGAAAGAGGCGAAGAGCTATGATGATCAGCTTATTTGCGTACGGGTATAGCGAGTTTATCATGGTATGCTTTCTGACATTCATTAACGATATTGCGAAGAAACCTAATGTCGCGCAACCTATCGTACAGATGCGGCGATGATTCCAAATCCAATGACTGCACTTCATCTCGCAGTCTATCATACCTTCGGGTTGCGCGAGAGAAGGAACAACGTATGCTGAGGAGAACAGGTGTTGTGTCTTGGACAGCTATCATTCCTTGTAAAGCATTGTCACGAATCTCTATCTGATCATCTGTTTCCTTCACAAGGCCTCGAAGAAGACTTCTTGAATTTGATTCTCGGGCATTGAGAGCCGACTCTTCGGCGTTTATTTCCGTGTTAATGAGTGAGTAAAGGTATGCTTGAACTTCTTTATACGCGTCGTTCCTCAATTATTTTGGAATGAGGAATTGCAGAGGGCCTAGCATGAATGAGAGACCCATGCCAATGAATGATTTTTGTAACGCTTTTAGGAAAGCAGCCATTTCATTGGGTCCTTCATTGGTACTGGACTTGGGAGTAATCCCCAATATAAACTTCATAGAGGTACCTACGAACTAAAACAAAAGTCAGATTGTCCCATTTTCAGCACGAGTTTTTAACATCGACATTTACAAGGCTTGCTAAAGGAAGTTGTAGATCCACTATTGTGTTACCATTCTCAGGAATGCCTTTGAAAAACTTCTTCGTCCCATTTATAAAAGGTTTTAAATCTGATATATTCGCTTTGCTAAACGTAGGACGAAGAAGAACTCTAGCCTTCTGCCACGACCAATTATCCGTGGTAATGGACCCACGTTCACAGAAAGGTCCCATAACAAGGAGCCTATGAGGTTCGTAGCCCCAGTCGGAATTGTTGGTAGACCAAGCAGTCTGGAGGTTTTCCGAGTCAATGGTTCGTATGCCCAAAGTGCCCAAGTTATTCACCAAGATTGCTTGTCCGTAATTTTTGTGAAGATTGGACAAAAAGGGGATCCCTTGATTTTTCAAAGACTCGCTGATGTCTTGCAGCTTTAGGTCAAGTCCAAGAATGGATCAATGTGACGGTAAGTGACGGCATGCTCGTAGCCATGTTGGCTACTCGATGAGTTGGCTCGACCAGTCACAACATACAACAATATGGATAAAGCTCCCGTGAGAATGATCCAAGTAATATCAAACATTCTGACTACAGATTGTATGAAGTATTTTCGAAAGTAAAAGGAGGATAGCGAGCCAGAACTACATGGGATTTTACATAGTATCCCATAGAAAAGTCCAAAAAGATATAAGACAGACAGGTGGAGAAGATCCAACTGTTACAGACAAGAATCTGACGAGGCTAAAGCATGACAACCATATGCCAACATGATATATCATTTGCAATGATTACTCGGCCGATCCCAAGCTTCCGAGGCAAATATGAAAGAGTGACCTTATGCGCGGAGGTGATTCACCTGTACATTTTAACAAGCACAGTACATCCATTTGGCCTGAATTTCAACGAAACGATGAGGGATGGTGAGCACTTACAATTCACTTGCGATTCACTTACAGCGCACCTATAATATAATAGCCTCCGTAGATGGCTATCATTGCCGTGCTGTGCCGTTCTAGCGCTGTTATTCATCACACAGTAAGACCTTGAAAAGGTAAGATCCTACATACTGATTTTCCAAGTTTCGACAGGGCTGGGCAAATCTGAAACTGCTGAAATTCCAGTTGTTCCTGTGATAAAAAATCGGGTAACCTGCACATGGACGAAATAAACCGCACGCCTAAGAATTACAACCAAAATGGAGGCTGTACAGAGTATTGAATAAGATCTGACATGGAGACCTTCGTTATACAGACCTGAATACTAAAAATTAAATGAAAACTATTTATAAAGACACAGACTTTATATTTCGAGAGTGTTGAACTATACAAAGTATATTAGTATTTAACTCAAATATACTAATATAAAGTAGTAATCTTATAAAAGGACTTAATTATAAGAGGTTGAAAAATTCAATTGTTTTTATATACTTCAAGATATTAAAGTATTTATTAAATTTATATAATTAATTTTAAAATTTTACTTTTATTTTAATTAAAAGTCTTATAAAATTAATATTATAATCTTTTATAGTTTATAATCCTATATAGGCTGGAAAACATTAAACAAAACCGATATAATTGAAAAATTTATTCTATCATTATAGAGTCATCTCTTATAATATAGTCCACCAGGTCCTGTAAACCAGGTTCTTCTATACCTAGTTAGTTCTACTCATTGGCTCGAGCGTTGCCAGGACTCGGAAAAGAAACATCACCGGTAGAACTATCCAATAAATGTACCGATCCGAGGATACGTCAGCGTTTTAATATTTAATAACATACTTCAACGAAAACCAATTCAAAACAACGGACAGGAATTGTCGAACGAGAGACAGTTTTTTACTCAATTCATACTCCAAAAATCGCATATGGAGTCTGCATCAATCCCTTGCCACACAATTTAAGTTCCTTTTCTGCTGTGCTGCCTCCCTTCCTACAGCAAGCATGTCTTCGAGGCACGTCTCGCAGCTCCGAAAATGGATGCTGGCCTCGCCGCCTATTGAATGGGGTATCGATAAGCTGAGAGAGTTACTCATTGGCGCATTGCGACAAGGTCCTATTCCTCAACATGTGGCATTCGTGATGGATGGAAACAGGCGATTTGCGCGGAGTCATAAGATAGAGACAGTGGAGGGACATAATCTGGGATTTGAGGCTTTAGCAAGGGTTTGGCTTCCTGCAATATGGCTGATGTCCCTGTGCTAATGTAGTGTCTAGATACTGGAAGTTTGCTATAAGTCTGGAGTGAAAGTCGTTACGGTTTACGCATTCAGTATTGAGAATTTTAAACGCTCGAAATACGAGGTGGATGCTCTCATGGAAATGGCAAAGGTTAAGCTGGTACAATTGGCGCAACACGGGGATCTTCTGGATAGGTATGGAGCCAGCGTTCGAGTTCTTGGTCAGAGGAATTTGGTCAAAGATGATGTTTTGGAAGCTATTGATAGAGCTGTGGAGATGACGAAGAACAATGGAGAGTAAGTTGCGTTATATCGATGCTACTGGGTCAGGGATTCTAACACTCTCTTAGTTGCGCACTCAACATCTGCTTTCCATACACATCTCGAGATGAAATCACAACCGCAATCAAGACTACGGTGGAAAACTACTCAAAACCTACATATACACAACAGCGACCATTCTCGCAGACTCGAATTACGCAAAAGCTCAAGTCACGGAACGTCAACTCAGTATCAAATCCAGATCTGAGAGAAAGCTCACCTACCCCTTCAAATAGATCAGAACCAGACGAATCCGTGTCATCCTCCACAACCCTGAACCCCGAGTCATCGACAACAAGTAGCCCCGAAGCTGGAGTGTTTCCCGACCCCGAACTTATATCTGTAGACACGCTTGCTGAAAACCTATTCACTGCTGGAGATCCTCCTTTAGACCTCTTAATCCGAACCAGCGGAGTGAACAGACTAAGCGACTTTATGTTATGGCAATGCCATGAGGATACGGAGATAGTTTTCTTGGATTGTTTATGGCCCGAATTTGATTTGTGGCAGTTTTTACCGGTCCTGGTAGAATGGCAATGGAAACAGAAGCATGTGGAAGAGAAGGCACAGGGCAATGGAATAAAAGCATCGAATATTAGAAGTCGTTAGATATCCAGGGAAATTTTGGAGCGGGAAAGGACCTTTAAAAGGGATTCGGGAGTTTTTGAAGTCATCTTTTTTCAACGGATAACCTACTGATAATAGAAAGTTTGAAGGCTGGTAATGAAAAGGTTGTCTAATATATTCTCCTAAAAGCAGGAAGATGTATCTAGAGGTTTTACTAGATACAATCGTCTCATCAAAAGTAGCATAATTTGTAGGTAAGAGCCAGTAGAAAGAATACCTACCTATCATTGCATCTACTACTGACATACAATGATATCAATATCACAAAAATGATTCGCTTGAGCTCGGGAGTTAAGCTTGAAAGTCTGCAGGCCACCGTAATTAGCCCAATCTAGGCGGTGAAATAATTCTGCCCACCGCGCATTTTACCCTAGCAGACCGGAGTGATCACCCACCCAGATCTTCTGCAGCTCTACAAAGCTGGCATACATCTTAACAATCTCAAATGCTGAGACGACTTTCTCGAATCTAATGCCAATTTTCAATGGGCCTCAAAAGTAAAAAATTACTTTCAGAAACTCTTTGAATCCAATTTGCGCGTGTCGCACAGCTTTCTCCTCGATTTCCTCTCCTACTTTTCGAAAATTAAGTCGAAGCTCACGATGAAAACTACAAAACCACCTCCTACAGACCCCTCTTCGAGCCGGAGAGCTCAGCCTTTACGACAGACACGGAATAATCCGCCTAGATCCTCAATCTCTGGCTCTCGACCTTTTGGACCAAGAGGTTCGATTGGCGGCGGTGATGGAGTACCGAATGTGGATCAGACCGTCGAAATATTTCCTGCGATAACCCAGTTCGCAGATGCTATATCTGCGTTGCCGAAAGAACTCGTGCGACACTTTACATTACTCAAGGAAGTCGATGCGAAAGTCTTTGGGCCAGAAGAGGAGCTCGCAAGACTCGTCGACATTGCGCTCAACACCCCACCACCGACAGCACCCAATTATTCCTCCAATTCAAGATCTGCATCTACGAATGGACATCATCATTTGTCTAGCACAAACGGTTCGTTAGCAAATGGTAATAGTGGGCCTGCGGGCATGCTAATGGAGATGCAAGGAGAACCGTTCGCTTCCGTCAATCCAGCGTATGCTATTTATCATACCCCTAACATGCCTAGAAGACGACAATTCCAAGCATGTGCTAGTTATATGCAAAATATGCTGGTATCACTCGATGAGAAAAACCATGTTATATCGACGGCTGGCGAGGCATTAAATAAACAACTCTCACGTCTCGATCAATGTTTCCCGCACATTGAAAACGAAGTGAGTGAAGAGGCACGATACGGCAGTACTACACATTGGGCATATCCTGAGAATCGAACATCTAAAACAAATTCTGGTGGTAACTCCAGAAGGGACGCTCCTCCCGCAAATAATCCTAGTGCAGCGGCACAACAAATAGCAGAAGAGCACGCTGCGAGGAGTGATGCGAGGAAGCAAGCATTGCTTGCAAGGAAAGGAGCCAAGAATCAACATGCAGACTCAGATTTCGACGATAGTCAGGAAGGGAGAAAGGCAGATTCAAATAAGAGACCTCATGGAAATAGCAAAGCTCGAAAAGCTGCTACTACCGAGACCCCAGCGGGCGTTGGACTTGGAATAATTAATGGAAATGGTACAAATGGAAATCCTCCGAAAAGGCGAAAGGTCGACAAAACTACAACTGCCGGCCCATCAACGGAGCGTGTTCTGAATGGAGTTTTTGGTACTAATGGAACCACGTCAAAGGGCAAGGCGGGGAGCCCCAGGTCAACCCCAGCACCGGATGGAACGAAGAAACCTGCAAGAGCAAGAGCTGCTCCTAACGGACAAGCAAGAAAAAGGTAAGTGGCTGCCCTGATCTAGGCAGCAATTATTTTCGCTAATTCACGATCAATTAGAAATAACACCGCAAACGCTGCAATGTCGCCATCATTAGCATCCTCTCCCGTTCGAAGCACATTTCCCGATATAAGACCGCCGGTGCGGGCATCCCCAGCTCCTGTTAATGGCGGAAGGCCGGCTTCAGCAAGGGCTAGACAGAATTCAGTACAATCAATTGCGGATACAGCACGGCGACCTCCATCTTCAGCTTCGAACAAGCCAAACGGAAATACACCTGGCACACCTGATTTAGCAGCTGTTGCGAGTGTGACGGGGAAAACCATTCCAGAGGTCAAGGCAACAATGAAAGAGGCTGGCACAAATGGCAAGGGAGAACATCTCCTTGAGGATGCTCAACCACAAAACCCAGAAGTACTAGGCGGTATAATAGTTGGGAACAGTAGAGAGAGTATGAAGCGTGAAGAGACTGTGGAATCAAACGGAGATGCTATGCAGGGCATTCAATCAACAACGATAACGACTACAAAGAGTGGCAGAGCCAGCAAACCATCCACGCCAGCAATGCCTTCTTTTGTTGAGCCAGTCCGCTCAAGATCATCGCGCAGCATTCCTGACCCCGTGTCAACGGCTAAAAGAAGCCACAAGAAAGGTGCAGGTGCAGCCGCTCAACTCATGGCCCAGCAAAACATGGAACTCGACGATACGACGAGTAGTGCGCAAGGCGATGATGAAGATGTTGAAATAGATGCTGATGAGCCTACCTACTGTTATTGCAATGGAGTTAGTTATGGCGAGATGGTAGCCTGCGATAATGGAACTTGTGAGAAGGAATGGTTCCATCTCGAATGCGTAGGCTTGCGAATCGCGCCCAAGGGTAATGGTATGTTCACTCTCATCTCGTACCCCATAGGAACAAGTAACTAACACGGTATAGCAAAATGGTACTGTGATGATTGTAAAGAGAAAACGAAGAACAAGCGATTCAATAATGGACGATAAGGACAGCCGGCAAGACTACAGCAGGAGAAATGGAGTTTTTTTGGTACGAATTTGATACCTAGGTGGATCAATCCTTGTAGCTTTATGGTGCATACAGGCCCATTGGAGTATGGATATTTGGGCATTGAACTTTTTGGGGGTGCTGGCACATAGAAATGGCGTTTGTTTATGATGGAAGGGATTTCGGTAGATGCAATGATGGTGGATTCTCTTTCAAATGGAAACGTGATGATTGCACCAATTTGTGAGACTTCTCATGTCCGGGGTCTTCGGGATGGACGCGAATGAATGTGCAAACGGGCAAGCGCTGCCTGACAGCAACTCAACTGTATGTATTTCACTACCGACTAGGTAGCCTAGCGAAAAAATTGATTGGTCCACGTGATGGGACCAAATATACGAATGAAGTACCCTAGGTACCCGTACCTACCTTAATAAGTAATATTGAAACATGGAAAGTTCGGACCAAGAACAGTTACTAGGTACTCTCGGGGGGTGGGTGAATGTGGAATGTGGAATGTGTGGAGTGCATTAGGGGATCATATCTACGGAGTAGTAAGTAGGGATTATCGGTATGCTGGTACGCTGTACGTACATGGCAAGTGATTTACCCCGTACTTTTGCCCCTGTCTGGTCTGGTCTTGTACTTGTATTTGGATTTGGATTTGTACCACCCGACTTTATGTATGAAAGTATGTATGTGTGTGACATTGTATGTATGTATGTATGAATGAAAGTACGGAGTACGGAGTAAATTGAGTTTTTGACTTGGTTGCTTGATGCTTGATGGAGGGATGGAGGGATGGAGGGATGGAGGGATGGAGGGATGGATGGATGGATGGACGGATGGATAGATAGATGGATAGATGGATGTGCGCCAATGGGATCTTTCACCGATGGATGGATGGATGGATGAGCGTCTTTTGACTCCGTATATGGATGGTGTACTCTGTAGTGTTTGAATTTTGAAAAGGTGGAACTTTTTAAGTTTGACCCTTTTTTTCCCCCTTGAGATGTCTGATGTACGGATGGGGAGATCGGGGGATCGGAGGACGGAGCAGAGTAGTGATTGATAGTGTGATGTATGTAACGTGGTCGAAAAGCTTGGGTGATCTTTTCCCTGGGTCATCTTTGGTGGTGTAGTTGCTGTAGTTATAGCTGTGGTTAATCAATAAAGTCTAGCCAAGCTTGGCAGCAGCCGCATCGCACGGAGAGCACATGAAAGAAATATTGGATTCTGGACTCGAGATATGGATGCTGTAGATTGTTGCACGGCGTACGCTGAATAATCATGAATTTGTATTTTTGCATCGTCGGAATATATTGCATGTACTCCGCACAGACAAGACAGTACATGACATGCTGTATCAGTGTATCCTCATATAACCGAGTCTGGGCGTTTTTAAGCGATCCAAAGAATGGGTAAGACTGCAATATCTATGGGAACGATTCATTCAATGCACTCCTCACGCCAAATCTCATGGAAAATACGTTATGCTGTATAGATACTCCAGTCTCCAGAATCATCGACCAACCCAACCCAAGTCATCAAGGTGTGGCCTTCCTCGGCTGTACATCTCACCCATTGCTCATCAAATACCACCAATTCTATTACTTTATAGGAATCCTTTCTGGCTTCCGCCATATATCGCAAACAGACGCAAATCGATTCCGAAGACGTAATGGCTGCATCCTTGCCAAGCCTCATGATCTCTGCTTCTCCGCTGTGGAGTTGATTTGATGTCGATTTGACTGCGTCTTTCCCTCAACCTCTTCTGTAGCTTGCAGCTTTGATTGATCACCCAGATTATGGGGACAAGTAGGAAAAGTAGGAAAAGTGCATCACGCGTCGATTTTTGTTTTGTCTACACGCATTCTTTGACACAGAATTATCTTTTTAGGTACTTTTTAGTGTGTTGTCCTGGGGTTTGCATGGATTATGCCATCAAACCTTGCGATTTGCGAACAATGAATATCAAGCAAGGATTAATTGTCATAGCTTGGAAAATCCATCTCACCTCTCTTGGAAAGTCTCTGGTGATGTTTATCAGCCTCTTTGGGTGCTTTTGTTTGCATTATATTACTCAAGTGATTCATGGGGGTCTTGTATCACCTGAGATGATGAAAGGGCAACGGCAACTTGTCATGTATTAGCTAATTCTTTTAATTATTGTTGATGTGTTTTTTGCAGGATCGGTAAAGTAATATTTATTTACTATCAATATCTACTACTGTCAATACAATTAATTTGCTACCAATACAACTTACGCTCAAGGTCATAAGGGGTTCGAATTCAAAACTAGAAGCCTCCACTACGCTCTTTGGGTAAAAGTGATTCATTGATTCATGTGTCTAGCATTGATCCCTTGGAACTATTTGATTTGATATGCATTAGATATTCATTAGACTATTCCCCATACTTCTACGCTTCTTTCAAAGTCATTCCTTACGATACTCCGTGCCTACCTAGTAACAAACTACCGTACGGATCGTCCTCTCCACCTTTGCCTTGTCAAAGCATAAATTCCAACCATTCAATATCAACGTGGGACTTTAATAAGCCTCCTAACCTATTCTACATATGCAACAACACAGCACAGCACAATACAATACAAAACAAAACACCCTCGAAAAAGTCAAGACAATATTTCCTTTAATTTTCTATTATTTCATCATTCAAAAACAATCCCTTTCATCTATTTAATTCAATTTATTCGACGTGTGTCATAAAGGGACCCCTCCCTTTTCCCCGCATATTAAAGTTGTGGTTTGGCATTTTCTCTTACGAAATTGAGAATTTCGTGACTAAGAGATTTTCTTCATCTCGGTTTTTTTTCCCTTTGATCAACCTCTGTAAAGTGCCAGTGCAACCACACACATCCTTTTACTTTTTCAATCATCACAATTATTACAGCGCTTGCTGGGCTTGTCTCTTATTCACCGTCTATTCGTCTCTCGTTGGCTTAATCCCAACCACCTGGATTCATATTTACTATATTTCCTGCAAATATCTCCCTCACCTCCCAGCTCCCAGGTCTCGTGCAGCATAAATGTCCGATATGGCTGTGGCAAACTCGAATGTACCACTGCCGACAAGGCCAATGATGAAATCAGCACCAAACTTGATACCTCGCAAACATTCCATCACGCCACCAATGTCTGATCGTGGAGACAGGACCAGCTTTTCAAGTGTAAAAGAAAATACTTCTGGAGTTCCTCAATCTTTCACCGATTCCAAGGTCAGCTCTTATCTGAAGTACGAAGTCGATAGCAACGAGAACGAGATCGCCATTGATGACACGAGCAGTGGAGGTTCTAGAACTCCACCAGAAAACGCCGAGCCCGATATGCAAACGTTGTGGTCTACAAACCCTCATAGCACTCTCCATGGATTCGTTTGCCCTTGCGATGGCTTCCGAGGTTGGAAGCAAATTGCAGTACGTGGTAAGGTAGCGAGTAAAAGCTACAGTGATTTAAGGAACATGAAGATGGGCTGGGGATGGGACAGTGATTGTGAGTCAAAGGTTAATCCCGAGCCGGAATTGAAGCCAGCGGCCGAGCCGGTTATGGAAGAAGTCAAAGTCAGTAATTCTGGAAAGTCTCCAATCGAGATGCTACCTGCGGAACTACTTGGTAAGCTATTTCCCTTTTTGATCAAATCCACCACCTGGATTACTGGATATCTATTTACAAAACGAATTCGTCCCCTCGCCCAAATCGACTCCAAGGAATCGACCCTTAGGATAAGGGTGATGATGTAGTCACATGACTCTAGTTCCTCTGGGACATCTGGGAACAGCTTTATCTACAACTCTACAATAATCCTGTGGATTATGCCAGGAGCTTGAGGTTCAACGTATGCCTACAATGACTTTTGGTATAGTGCTAACATCAACAGGCGCTATTATTGATCAGCTTGTTATGGATATTCCCCCTGGCGGAATCACACCACGGAATGTTGACTTGATGTCTCTCCTCCTTACATCGCACGCGATGCATTCGGCAACTTTAGCTTCTCTTTATACGAAGATCACTATCCCGCACTCTCGAGTCTTTCGCAAGTTTCTGGCCCACATTAGAGATTATCCAGCTTTAGGCACGATTGTCCGACGATTGGACTTCTCCCACTTCAACCCAACTGGTATTGGTCTCACGGCTAGACAGCGTGCTGAGACATTGAACTTAATTCCAGCAACTCTTCTCGAATGTCTATCTTTGACTCCAAACCTACGGGAATTCTTGAGCCAGGAGCACATCGATGACGACATGGATTCAAAGGTTATTCAAAAACTCCTCTGCGAGTTAACCAATTTGCAAGCACTGGACTTTTGCGCCTGCTCATCAGCTTCTTTCCGCGATTCCTTCACCACGGCCGTGAATACCTCCCCACTTCCTAAAACTCTTCCCTTTACCAGATTGAGTTTCCACGAGTGTACAAATTTACCATCCTCCGTCTTCGAGACCCTCCTTCCACGGCTTCCATATCTGACCCATCTTGACGTCGCGCACACTCGCATTACGGATGACATTCTTTTTTCGATTCCCCAAGCAGCGAGGCTCACGCATTTGAATATCAGCAAATGTTCTTACCTTTCAGGAGAACGAGTAGTCGAATTCCTTAGCACACACCCTGCTGTCAGGTCACTCGCCTATCTCAATCTCGGTTCCGATATTAAATCTCACGAAATGCTTAATCGTTACGAGGTTGCATCTCTTCTTCCAATCCTCCCTGATACTCTTCGATCATTAAGTCTCAAAGGAAGCGAAATGCATGAATCGCACATTCCACTCTTCCTACCACTTACAAAACATCTTGAGGAGCTTGGTCTAGGTCATGGTTTAGTGTTATCCGATGTTCGTCGACTTTTTGTACCAGACCAAGATGCTAGTATTGAAGAACAAATTGCTTGGGTTCCACATAGTTTACATTATATCGATGTTTCAGATCTTTCAAAGGCTCAACTCGATCTTGGCACATTATTTGGTTCAAGCTGTCCAATCCTTAGAAACGATACCTTACCACTTGAAGTCATGGAGATTAGTACAGAATGTTTCAAAGTCATGAATACTAGTTCTTTAGTGAAGCGCGCAGGTTGGTGTTTGAAGGAGGCAGGTCGAAGATATTGGTTGGTTCGCGAAGATAAGACTGAGGAAAGTCAAAACGACTCTGGAGGAAGACAATGGAAATGGGGAGCTAACTACTGGGGTATGAGGAAAGTACCAGTTGCTCGAGCGGAGGTGGGAGGTATGTATGGACATTATATGTTTAAGCGATGAAGCTGGGAAGAATGAAGGCTGCGAAGAAGGATGATTTCCTTTGGATCATAGCTTTTTTATTGGTCTCACGTTCTCAGGATTCATGCAATTTTTGATGCGGTTCAGCATACGATGCATTGTTTCGGAGTGATCTGTTTGTTGGGAGTTTGCATGGGTGATGGATGGATCATGGGTTTTATTCTCTACTCTTTTCCTTTTGCTTCCCGTTCGGTTTGGGATTTGGGGTTTCGGATACTTTAACGTGCGTACTGGGAGTTTTGCAGCATGGATTGATTGGATATATGGAGAGCGTACATAGTACGCAAGGGAAAAATAGGTCGCGAAAGGTAGCATAGCGTAGGTAGCGTAGCATAGCATAGCATAGCATCTTATCTTCTCTAGCGGGGAAAAAAATAATATAATAGATACATAAATGAAGGGGTGGATGAGTATCAATTGTGGTTATGTTATGTCATGTTATGCTATTGGAGTGTCCTTTGAAGATTGAAGTTGGGTATGTGGTATCTTGTTTGTAATGACTTGTCCTTGTAATGGTACTTGTATTTGGACTTGTACTTTTGTGTAAGGGTACTTACTTGTATGTATACGTGATACGTAATAAGGCAGTGGAAATTTGAAAGGTTTGAGATGGGATGAGATGGGATGAGATGGCATGACATGGTGAGTAAGGTGAATGGATGGATATGGGAGGAGGGGGAGGGATGTAAAAGATAAATGGATAGATGCATAGATGTATATATATTGGGGTTGATTAAAGAATCTTTTATTACTCTTTTCTTTTTTCTTTGAGAGAGAAGACAGGAGAGATGGGCAGGATGTAAGAGGATTATTAGATGGTTTTATTATAATTCTTTAGGTTTAAGAATTCTTGAGTTTGGTAAGTTGGTATTGAGTTTTGAATATAGAGTTTGAAATGTTTAAATATATATATACATCAGATTACTAGAAATTATAACTTTTAAATAGGTCAGACGATCCGCATCTATCTAATCATAGCCCAGACTCTTAATCGCCAATCTAGAATCTAGAATATCAGCGAATCTTTTAGTTGGTACACCACTGTGACCTTACTCCAAAGACCATCATAGAACCGCTTAGCCACGATTAAAGATAGATAGGATAGATAGGTCGGTAGCGGGACCTAGTTTTGTAGGGATACGATGCGATGTACGTATAAAACTATCTAAGTAGGTAGTACTAGAGTATGTTATTGTACGACCTGGCTGGCTACCTAGCTATTGAGGACAATGTGGTCTGATGTGACCGGATGGAAAGATGGAAGGATGTATTGTAGGTCAGAGGAATGAGAGATTTCGATGGAGAAATGATTCCTGGACTGTGTACGGAGTAATGAATGAAGTAAGTAAGATCTTAGCTACCAACAGTATTTCTGCTTATTGAATCCTTCGAATTGCTACTAGAATAGTTAGTGGGCATAGAGTGATAATGCGAATTTGATCTTCACTCTTCAATAAGGATGTTAGATCTTCTTAAATCAAGAATGGAACAAGGATCATTTGTATTGAAAAATATAAAATATAAAAACATTTATTTATACTCAACACTAATAAGCTTCACGAAAAAAGTAAGTGCCCGTTTCGTTGGTTGATCAATGACAGGCAGGGTAGAACTATGTTATTTAAGACATAATAAGTTTAGTCAGGAACCGAAAAGGGGATGTGAAAGTTGGATTTGTTCGTTCTTGCTTATCTTAATTTGGTACTCTTCTCTTTTGGAAGTATGTACGCAACGATCTACGATTTTGATTTTTGAAAAGGAACACGACTGGTTTTTTATTTTCTTCTTCTTCTTTTTTCTTTTTTGAAAGCACTTGGATTGATTGGCTTTTTGGACGAGAGGATTTTTGGTGATTGGGATTTCGGTGCGATTTCTCGACGCTGCGTTCATCCATCGGATGAAGTGAGGTTGGTTTGGTTTGGTTTGGTTTGGTTTGGTTTGGATGTTGGTTGGTGGGTGATAATGCGATAACGAGACGGTCGGAGATTTTTTGTTTACCTTTTTAGAGGATTTCGCAGACAGATCGATTGCGCGATATTAAAGAGTTTGGAGATTTGGGGGAAGGGAGATTTGTTCTTTAGGTTGTGATAGGATAATAGAGGGAGGATGCCTAGTAGAGGTGAGAGGGAACTTCGGAAGAATAGGAGTAGGACGAGTCAGGATTTGGGATTTGGGGAATACAATGCGCAGCAGGGGGGTGATTCTCAGGATGGTTATGGGAATGATTATGGACAGGACATGAGGGGTGATAAGGGTAGGAAGGAAAACAGAGGTTCGAGGGATTATGATTATGGGCCGACGAAAGAGAAGAATGCTGCTGCTGCCAGAAGATATGATGTTCAGGCTCCTGATACTTCGATTGTTTTGGAAGGTTATAGAGCGGATATTTTGAATGGATTTGAGGAGCCACAAGCACGTTATAATCCGGTGAGTTGCAAATAGGCTGTGCGTGTGAAGGACTGTGAAAATATATTAATGGCTAATGTTTATTATGGCATAGGGAAATACGGCGCATCCTCAAAGTTCTATATTACTCGATATTAACGATCCAATACAAGTACATTTATTAGTAGAGACAGCATTATGGGATGCAAAGGAGTACGAAATTTTATCACCAGAAGAAGTCGATGAACTGAAAAAACAATGCCAGTCTTTAAACCAACGAATTCAAACCGCGCGACAAAATTTAGTGGTTCATTCGAAATATCGCGATGCGACTCGTTCCATGTCAAAATTATATCCGGATAAGAAGAAGAGCGTGGATTTGAATGATCCTAATAAACAGAAGCGCGGTATATTCGGAAATAGGGATAGAAGTAATAGTGATCAGGTTCGAGAAGCCGATTTGGAGCGTGTGGCTAGCGAAAAGAAATGTGAAGAATTAGCAGCTGAGTTATGGTCTTTGGAGAAGAGATTGATTGAGCCGGAGCATCGATTATTGAAGCACACAGCGGGGATTCTTCAGATGACGCACAAGGGCCCTAAAAGTCATCCTGGAGGAGAAGATGCTCTTCAAACTGGTATACCTGGAAGTCCGGAAAGTATGTACACGTATCATAATGCTAGGAACAGTCTTGAATTGATTGAGGATGAGTTTGATGAGAGGAGCTTTTACCGACAATTGGATCCTTTGGATATATCTTTTGCTTTTGGTATGAATCAGGCATTGGAAACTCCATCCACAGAAAGGTCAAAAGAACATATGCAGCTCATCTCGACTACTGAACAAAAGTTGGAGGATCTTAATTCTGCTTTGAGAGAAGTCCTTATTAAGGCCAATCCCGGACGGGATGCGAGCCAAAATCCAGTACCGCTTGCAAGAACAAATGCTGAAGGAAAACCGACTCAACCCGGAGAAACTTTACAAAATCATCTTGATTATTTGGAGCAAGGTATTGCTGCCCTTGATATCGAGCAAAGTGCTTCCAAACGACAAGCAGATGAGCTTAATGCTTCTATGGAAGATACTTTGGAGGAGTTAAATCGTCAAGTTAAGGGTCTTCTTTCACCTACACATCCAGAGTTGAAAGAGCCACCAGGTATCACCGGACAACAAACTGGCCTGAGGGAGCAATTGTATTATTTCCAGGATATTATTGCTTCGGTAGAAGAGGAACTTACAAAGGCAGCCGAAATAGTTGCGAATCCTCCTATTAATAAGAGTAAATCTTCCGACAGTGATCAGATGGAGGCTGTACTTATGGGTTTGTGGGATATTATACAATCTGGGGAGGAAGAGATTCGAAAACAGAAGCACGAGCGGAAACTTAATCGGGCAGCGAATGGTCGTACTCCTCAGGATGAATCCGACACTGGTTCTGAGATGGGTGATCCAAATGAGCCATACACGCTTCAATCATTTTCCGCAAAAGTACAGTGGTTGTATTCTTCGGCTACCAAATTGAAGGAGCATAAGAAGGTTCTGCAACGACAAATCAAACAACAGCGAGAACTGAATAATAAGTCAGATGCTCAAAAAGATGCTGAGTTAGTGGCTAAGCAAGAAGAGCTTGATAAGACCACGGAGCTTCTCGGAAGGACAGAACGCAATGCTGCCGAACTTCAGGAACAACTTAGCAACGTTATGACTGAATTGGTGAAGGCAAGGGAAGCCGACAAGATGGATGCCGAGGCCCAGGCTAAGGATTCTGCTGCTCTTCGAGAAACACAAGAACAGCTTGCTAAGGCCCGTCGTTTACACGAGGAGGAACTTAGTAATTCTCATCGTGAAGCTTCGGAACGAATTGCCAGTATTACTGACGTGCAGCTTCGTGCACAAGAACAGCTTACAGTTGCAACTCGTGAATCTCAGGAACGGATTGCTGGTTTAGCAACTACTAATCGAAATCTTGAGGATCAGCTCGCTTCTGCCAATAAAAAGATTGATGAGATGGAACTAGAGCTTCAAGGGATCAAAGACGATTATGGTATTAATAGTGCTGATGTTACAACCAAGTTGAGTGGGCATGAAGCTAGGATCGCAGAGTTATCAACTGCGGTAGCTGCAGCGGCTACGACTAGAGTTGCTCATGAGAACTCTCTTAGGGAGAAGGATAGATTATTGGCGCAGAAAGAGAAAGAGGTGGAAGATATCAGTATGAAGGTTGCAGAATTACAAACGGAAGTTGTTATTGCCAGAGCGGAACTTGATGGTGCATATGGTTCACGAGCTCAACGTGCTGCTGAAGTTGCTTCGAATCCTGCTATTCAACGGGAGATTGATGCCATGACTAGAAAAAACAAGGCGTTGCAAGAGCAAATGGATGCCCTCCATAACAAGAACTTCATGCTGCAAGGTGAAATTGCAGAACTTCAAGCGGCGAGATCCCCAGGTCCAGCAATTAGCGCCGAAGCGGAAGCGAAGATTGCAGAGCTGAAAAAGGAACTCGAAGAGACGATAGTGGAGTACGAAGCTATGACTAAAGCGTCAATTGAATGGGAAAAGGAGAGAGAGAAGTTGGAGGGGAATATTGATAAATTGAGGAATGAGAGGGAAAATCTTGAGAGTCAATTGAGTGATGAGAAGGTTAAATGGTTAGGCATGAAGAGTCCTGGGGATGGAAGTTTGACGCCGGGAATGATGAATACAAGTACGACAGTCTTGAAAAATGAGTTTAAGAAGATGATGAGGGATTCGAGGGCGGAGGGTTTGAGAGCTTTGAGGGTGAGTCTTTTTCCCTTTATTTTCTTTAGAATTTTTGATGTTTCATTTGGATGTTGATGCTAATGATGAATTTAATAGGCCGAGCAAGCCGAAAGAAAAAGAATCGAAGAAGAATTGAGGGCATTGAAAAAGGTGCAGGGGCCAGGTAGATCGGTTTTAAGTCAGAGTGTTTCTTGATTATAGTCATATTCTTGGAGCGGCGTGGGATTAATAGGATATCAGATATCAGATCATGAGAATAGATTAGGGGTTCTTGATGATTAGATAGTAATTCTTTTTTGTGGGGGACAGAGGGAAAGGGGAAAGAGGGGAGAAGGTTTAAACGTATTGAAAGAGCGTCAAGGTGTGAAAGGCGTGGTTTAGGTATTATAGGTACATGGAATGTTTTATAAATTTTTTATTATTATCATTGATTTCTAATTTTGATCTTGATAATTAATTCCTTGTCATATGTAAACTCAGCGATTATTTAAAGGAGAAAAGAGAAAGTAAGAAGAATTTCCCTCTGTTATTAATTGTCTGGTAGTGTGGCGTGTGTGTGTAATTGGTGTTCAATTCAATGGGATGGATAGATGACAAGGGAGAGGGAAAGAGGGAGAGGGGAGAGGGGAGAGGGGAGAGGGAAAGGGAGAGGAGTAAAAAAGAAGCGAGGAATTAAATTAATCGTTCTCTCTTTTTATAAAAGTATAAAAGAATAAATATTAGTCTTATGATATTATAATATGATAGTCTGAGAGTTGATTTATATAATATAGTGTAGTGGATATAATAAATATTAAAAAGTTGTGAGAGCTGACTGTTTTGTATTTATTTATAATAGTTTAGTTTCATTAGATTGGATTATCTTATTAGATTCATTTTAATGTATGAACTTTATTTGTATTTCAAAGTTGTGTGGAGCTACTAACTAGTAGATAAGTAAAATGTTCTCTATACATTATTGCATATTGCATATTGCATATTGCATATTGCATATTGCAACTAGTCTCGTAGATAATCTCACAGCTAGATAGGTAGGTAAGATTAAGATCTTACTTTGTAGGTAAATAGGTAGGTAGGTAATCATCCATGAATCGTACAGCTTCCATCTTCCATCCTCCCGTCCTTTCTCTTACAATATAATATCATGTAGATAAACACCAACTCACTCACTCACCCGACCGTAATCTTCACCACCTCCGCTTCCAACGTCTCAGTATCTAATAGTACAATTTCCCCTGTCTCCTCGAAACTCGGTATGGAGATTAATCTAACCGTTTGGCCGTTTGGTCCCTCGATACTAGCCGTATCGAAGGCTGGTTGATTACCGGCGAAAAATATGTGAGGACAGGTGCGGATTATGAAGGGGTCGTCGTCTTGGAATGGATAGGACCCTTGGTAATGTTAGTCTTTTTCCTAGGAAGTGGGGGATTGTTGGGAAAAGAGAGGGGATACGGAGAACTTACAAAGAGTATCTGGTGCAGTAGGTGCGCAACATCTCCATCTACACATTGCTTCCATCATACTTAACCGATCTTCACCTTCCACATATTTAAAAACATCATCTACATTTTGTCCACCCGTCCCTAATACCCTCCATCCCTCTATTTCACCCTCCCATGGATTCGTCACTGTGTCAAACCATCCCGCCTCCCTCTCCTCTCCAATTACACTCGGCGCACTCCCACAATATGCTCTCGCCTGAGGAAACATAGCCGGATGAATAGGTTGTTGTGGTAAACTTGCATTCGCCGGATCACTAGCTCCAGGTAATAATGTAATTGGTAAACTTGGTAATAGCTCGGCGAGAAAATTATCAAAATGCGCTGTAGGAGCGGGATTGTAGGCGCTGGCATCGTACCCATATTTCTTTTGTGCTTTACGTGTATTGCCAACAGTATCATGAGCTATGCTATCAAGATCTGAAGCAATACTGTTACCGGCAATTATTAGACGACTTATTTTTGAGACGTTGGATTGGGAAGATGGATCTAGACTTTCGCCTAGTAGGTATTCGGTCAGGAGGGACTTTTCGAGAGAATTTTCAGCACTGGTTCCGGAGAAAGAGAGACCGGATATGAGAGCGATTTTTTTGCGTCCTGCTTTGTCGGTATCCATATCTATATCCTCTTCTTCTTTCGCGCCTGATATTTTCCACCTTGGTTCCTGCGGTGGTAAATCCGGAACTTTGATATCCACAACTTCGAAATCCCCATTTGCGTTTTCTGTACCCATTACTGCGACTATACAACCAGTAACAAGTAGCTCCATACTCAATTGTCCTCCAATTAATCGTAATCGTCCAGATTCGTCCTCGAGCATAATTTCGTCGTCGCCATTACCGGAAAGATATTTCCTTCGAGGTGGTGGTGCTGATATCCAATGCTATTATTCCCAGAGATTAATTAGTACCACGAATCATCACTTTAGCCTCTTCTGCCTGTCCCTTTCAAACTACCCAAAATAAAAGAAAAGATTCCATACATCTTTACTTATATCTTCCAAAATATTCGGCTTCAATGGCATATTCATATAAATTGTACCAGCCACCCAACATAACTGTCCCTGTCTAACATCCAACACTCTCTCTACTTTCCGCACTTCTTCCCCCGAAATCTGGAATCCATCCCAAGCAGCACTGGCAATTTCTTCAACTGGTTTCTTTAAAGTAGTTAATCGTAAGAAATACATATCACCATATTGCTGCTGGTAGTTTTTGGCTTTGGAAAGTGCAAATGTAGGTAGAGATTTGTATGATGAGGGGACTCGAGTTGGTGGTGAGGAGTGAGAAGTGCTGTATTGGAGCTACCAATTAGTTTGAAATGCAAAATGGTTATTTGAATAGTAATATCACTTACGTGGGACCATGCAGTAAACTGCCATCTTCCACAGGTATAGCCATCTTTTGTTGTCGTTATTGCTGAGAGTTTTCCTTAGAACTTTTGTTAAATTAATGAAGTCGGGAAACGCGCAGGGACGCGGTTCGCGAATTCTCGTGTAAATTGAATACACGTGACCATGGCTGGCTTGATTTGTACTTAATTGGAAGCCATAATCCTCATTCTCAACCACGGCGTATTTTCTTTCCCCTCGTTATTTACTCTTATTTACAATGATTACTCCAGGACTTGGGGAGATGATTTCAAATGCCCACACATGCAACGCTCAATCCATAAGTACTGTTGGATTGATGTTTGGAACTTTGGATCGAGATAAATGTAATCTCATCTTACTGCGGATACCTCTCCGCCAGTATCATTCAAAGCACTTAGGACTTAGGATGGCAAAATAGTTGGATCAATGAATTTTAGGTTATAGCACTTCGTTTATCGTAATGGACACAAGCCCTATTCGCAGGAAAAACAAAATCTAGAAATCTTATTAAAAACCTAGTCGTGTTCCTACCGGATGTATGGTATGCTTCTCCTCTCTATCCACCAGCCTAACAAAAATATCCATCTAATCCCCATGCGGCTTCGATGAGTATCGACTCTTCTCCTTCCAATCATCCAATTGTTATCGTGTTTCCTGGTAGAATGTATCGCATGCCTAATCTTATCCAATCAATCAATCAACCACACTAATCCAACTTCAATGCCGCTTCCATATGTGTATGATCATTTTTATACTCCCCAAATTTATTTTCCCCGTCCAAACCATCCTCCTTCAGTCCTCACAAGCTAACCGTAACCGTCATACTATTACTATGCACCAACAGCACCGGCGGCAAACTCCTACACAGCACCTCCAAATCTCCCAGGTACCCCTCGCTCGCTTCCCTACTTCTTCCCGTCCCTTCAACCGGACTCGGCAACGTAGTAAAAATGACCGCCGTCTTCTGACTCTGACTCTTAATCAATTGATTAAGAATCAAATGCTGTGCTCTACAAGGCAAGTCATTAAAACTGAGCGGAAGCGCTTGTAAGGAATATGAAGAGCGGGTGGGGGAAGGAGGATTGGGCGGAGGATGAGAGGAGCTGGATGCTTCGGAGATGCGGTCGAAGGAGGGAGATGAACGGTAAGCGGAGGGGATACGAGACGAAGATTTGCGGTTGGTGGGCGAAGAGGGCGTCTCGGCGAACATTATGCTGGGGCCCGGACCGTCTTCAGTGGCTACGCGTGTTATGGGAACGGGCTTTGATGAAAATTTTGGCGTAGATGCGTGTCTAGATATCGGTGGTCTCGCTGTTTGGTTAGGAGGCCGCAAGAGAGTCGACGATGCTGACGAATTAGGAGCATCAAGAGTCTTTTGCGAGTCTTTTAGAAATTGTCGGGAGTCGGAAAGAGTCGCTGGCGATGGCTGAGCGTTCGGTGCTCGAGGTGAATGTGGTGGTGACACCGGTGCTGAAGCGCTTGGTATCGATAGATCTGGTGATTTATTGAAAGATTCAATTATCGATTGCCTTGTGGATTTTGAAATTGTAGGAGGAACTGGCTCCTTTTCTCCAGCTGCCCGTTTAGATATAGGGGGACCACGTAAGCTATCGCCATGACTTCTTCTTCTTGCAAGTGGTTTGATCTCGACGGCTTGAGATTCGCTATCTGATTCGAAATCATCCAGATCTCCTTCGCTTGCAGCACTTTCATCATCGGATTGGGGCTCAAGTTCAGAATCACTATCAGAATCTTCGCTAGCACTTCCATGACTAGCATGTCGGCTCGTTACATCGGGCTCTAATCTTTGAGATCGCATGCCCATACTGACACCTAAACCATTCAAATCACTCAAATTTTGTCGTTTCTTCGATTTTCTCAGTAGCCGTCGGAGTCCAAGAAATCGTTCCGCCTAGAAAGCATTTAAAGGTTAGCTTAGGAAGCATTGAAAATAATGATATTTCCCAGGACAAAAAAGTTTTTAACATTTAAGAGGTTGAAGGGGTTGAAGGGGTTGAAGGGCAGGTCAAATACTTACACGCTCATATCGTGGACCCTGTTGAAATGATGCACCCGGCCAAGCCGGGGCAGCATGAAATATGTTCGCAATCTGAGCCAAATCGACTGAAGCAGATGTGGTTGCTCCACGATGTCCACGAAGTTTCTGTATCTCATCCCACCAATCTTGTCCGTTGAGACACTCCTCGACCTCGTCAATTTGATCAGCACCGGTATTTGCACCATTAATGATAATCTCATAGGATGGGATGTCCCCTGATGCTAACCAGAATACAAGAATTTCGGCCTCTATGCGTAGATTTTCGAGTAGTGATTTCACCCTACCTCTTTCCTCCTCCACGTCATTTTCATATTCAACAAATACAGCCACCCGAAGCTTATATGCTTTCTTCCAAGCAGGCACAGTGTTTAAAATTACCCCAAGCTGGAGAATCAGAGTATCTATGAATATTGTCAGCTACTCCGATAATTGGAAGATAGTGAGCACAGGAAGTAAAAAGTCATTTCTAATCACTGCTTGACGCCAGGTAAAACTATACCACAGGGGTCTTACATGTATCAAAATTGGTGGTCAAAACATTCTGTTTCTGATCACCTTGGGCTGCAATTTCAGCAGACATTTGAATAGGCCAAAGGTCAATGTACTTTTTTGTGTTCTCCGTATCAGGCAACTCCAGATCTCGGAATCCTTTTGCCACTGCAACGTTGATCTGTAGCTTGAAGAGTAGGTCTTCTAGAATGGTCACATAGCTTGTGACACTCATCATACCCTCAGTCCGGCACAAATCAGTTGGTAGCACACCTTGCATCTTCTTTTCCTTGCTGTTCTGACGCTTGTTCCGGGGTGGATTCTTTGGTGTCTCTGCATTCTTCGATGATGATTTCGGTGGCTCCGAAATGTCTATTAATGGCTGCGAGTTTCTGAGGTCATCCAGATTATAGAATCCCATTACTGCGATATTAGGCCTCATTCCTCCTAGACCCGCGTTGAGGACAATGTTTCGTGCCCCCCACTCTAAAGCCGGAGAAATGGCAATATTTACGAATGCTTTGATCTTTGAAAAATCAATGTATTTGTTCCATGCGGCTTGTTGACGACGCTGTCCCTATAATCAGTACATGTGCATGTTCAAATGTACAGACAAACCATTTTCATTTGTGAAAAGGTGTGGACATTCTACTTACAGCTTCTTGTATTGATTGACTAAAATCATCCGTCACGATAATATGACCGAGAATATACAGACCACCTTTTTTCATGGAGTTGCAAAATTGTATAAGTTTGTATTGTCGACGTGGATCATTCACAAGTAAAATAACTTGAGGACGCCAAAATTTGACATGCTCCTGCTTTAGTTTGAGGAGGTACTTTCGGATCTGATGATAAATCAAGCTTTGTGATACGTCGCCCCAGCTTTTTGGCTCTACCGAATAATGGATAAGAAGAAATAGTAGAAGAAGAACACCTACGGATCCCGTTGCATAGAAGCCATCCACAAAGAACATTGCGGCTCCTGACACTATTGAACCAGCAAAGGCAGTCTGCCAGTTGAAGAAATGAAAACTTGGGCGCCAGTTAGGTGCAGACCCAACTGAAAGGAGGAAGCATGCTAGGTTCATGACCAAAAAGGTCATCTACAAAATATTAGCCAATGCTACCCATAACAGTTCCTGGGCATGAAAATAGAACCATGAGTGCTACTGTAATCGATACATATATGGAAAGGGCATATGTAGACAACAAAAGACAGTACTGAATATCAAGAGAAGGCAGTTGCGCCTAACACAACGGGCAAATGAAATTTGGAGGATTTGCAAGCCAAATACATGTACTTTGGCGAAACCGTACTTACAAGATAGGTCATTGTCACAAAGCTGGCGATTTGATTGAGGTCGCCTAGCATTGTCATTTGAGCGATAATGAACGTAAAAAGAATCGCAAAAGTAGGTTCATCAGCTTTTTCGGTTCCTTGGCCAAATATGGAAAATCCTGGTAACAGGCTGTCTCTTGATATTGCTTGGAGAAGCTTTGCACTGCCAATAATTCCCATGAGAACGGAGAACAAGCTAGTGGATACTTCTCCTGCTAGTATCAATAGGCCTGATACGTTTGTCTCCTGAAGTACATTCGTATTTCTGAGAAAGGATGAGCGGGTCACGGTGGCGGCCATAGCTACTATGACTAAAGAATACAGGACGAAAGTTGTGATAAGGCCATAAAGAGTTCCTTTGGGTATTGCTTTGCTCGGTGACTTTAGGTCACCACTCATACTGGCACCAGCAAATATACCTCCAGTTGCAGGAAACAAAATGCCAAACAAATCCTGAAAAGTCTCTCTTCCATTAATTTGGCTGCCAGCGGCACCCCTAGTAAGCTTAGGTAGAAGATTTCCAGACAGTGTCTGTAAACTGATGCCTGTATATTCAATTCCCAGCTTTCGACTTTCGAAGGGACTGACGACGAGTGCAGATAGTGGGATGCTCAATGTAGCGAGAAGTAGAATAACCAATAGTCCATTGCTAGCCCTTGCAAAGATTCCAGATCCAGCCAAGCATACCAACGTACAGAGAACGAGTATTATGGTAGACCAAAGGTAGCAATACCATTTTGTTTCGGGAAGAATCTGAGCCCAATTGCCGTCGTCCGCACCGAAATTCAGCGTTATACAATCGATGAGGCCCACTGCATTCATTCCAGTATTGAATACAAAGCCCAGATAAAAGACAAGTCCGATCGATCCCCCAAATTCTGGACCCAAAGAGCGAGAGATCAGATAATATGCCCCACCTCCGCGCACTGTTCCGTTCGAGGCGATAGCAGATAGGGAGAAAGTAGTGATGAAATTAATCACATATGAAGCGATAAGCATACCTAGATGTGCTGTCAATATTGGTTGGCGCATTGTGGAGTCAAGAACTAACCCATCATGCCCAGAATCCCACTTTGCCCCAGGATGAAACCAAATCGAAGGAACATCAAAATGCTCAAAACATTGAGACATGTTGGGACATACACTCCGGAGAACATCCCCAGCTTCTCTTGTCCGCCAATTGGTCGAGGTACCAGTCCTGCTCTAGGAACCAATGTGCCATTCTGCAGCCGGTCTGTCTCACTATGCATTTGCACAGTCAATGAGTTATCCCCCATGGCGCCGGCAGTATAGGGATCCTGATGCTGTTCCTCTTGCGAGTTCGGTAATTGGACATTATCACTTCCAGGGCGAAAAAATGTGTGTAAAAATTGATTCATCAAGGGATGATTGTTGACAGTCGTTGATCCACTAGCAGGAGCTTCACCATTGGGTTGTATTTGTCGAGTTCCATGCTCGTCGGTGCTAGATTCGTGGGTGCTGTCAATGTCTTGTGCGGCACTGTGCATTATCGATTATTGATAGTATTCCCAATGGTAATAACAGTATCTACCTACCTTGAAATGAATACGATAAGTAGGTCGCAAAATATTGCTTTGTATCTCATCTACTTAGTAACAATTGTGAGATCTAAGAGCTGATGAAGCCACAGAACAAGGATATTGCAGACCGACGTCATGTGGCAGGGTACAGTTTCAACAGCGAGATTATTCAGAAGAGTTCCGAACAGGAAAACGAACGGGGAGATAGGAAGAGGAGGGAATGTAAGGGAAGGGAAGGAGGGAAGGGAAGGATGCCAAGGTACAAGAAAGAGTATGTGTATATATATATAAATACTTACGTCGACCTTGCGATGAGCGCAATAACATGTATAGAAAATGGCTCATGGTACAAATACCTATCCATAGATGTTTGCCTTGCATGAAAGATTATACGGATATCTCTTTATTTGCATATACTGACCAATGGGAATCAAAAGAAGTTGAGATGCATTTCTGATTGGTTGAGATTCAAATAATTTATTTTCGGGGTCTTTTCTACTCATCCTTCACTGCAGGTGCATTGCCCCGATTTGTTGGTTTGAGATTATCAATTTGACAAGGGCCCGTGACTCGTGAGATACGATCCAAAGTCCACCCATGGGTACTACAAGTAGAAGATAACTAACTCACTTATTAGCTTGGTGCGAGCTGAGGATGAGAATGAGAATGAATGAATGAATGAGCGAACTAAGACAAATGAGACAAGGCAGCTGACAATATTCTAATACAACATCTTTTCTCTTTAGAAGATTTTATTGTTCATCATTCTTTTAGATAGACTAGATCTTGTGAGTAGATACAGATCGTTCCTCTGCAGATTGCATTTAAATCATTCACCGGTTGTTGTTATTGTTGTCTTCAATATATCAAGGCTAACGAAAATCGCGGGCGAAGATTTCCATCTTTTCCATACCAATAGGTCATTTTGGTAGGATTACAATACATCGATTTATCATGAGATAAGACTCAACGGATTATCTTCAAATAAACATAACCGTCAACTCCTTTACCGACCTCACCTTATATCATCATGTCGACTCCCTCCTCCTCTCGACCTTCGCCAGTCCCAATGAGTTCTTCACCAACACCAGATTCATTTAGAGGGCGGTCGGGAAGCCCATCTTCAAGAGATAAATCGACCGCTCGATTAGCTTCACCAGTACCTTCTCATCAAGGCACGCCGCAGATTCGCCAGATATCTACTCCTAAACAATTCGCCGCGTCGGACTCATCCGAAAATATTCCCCCATTGCCCCTGGCTGGCGCAGGTGGCCCGGCATCCTATGCGACTGGCCCAGGCATTAGTGCGTTAGCTGCTGCTCTTTCGAACTCTATCGGACAAACTCCTCCCAGCTTTGGAACACCTCCCATCCGTCCATTATCACCAGCCGCTGCCGGCAAACAGATACAAGGCACAGGAGTGCATAGCAATTACGGCTCTATCCCACGATCTGTGCAAGGAGGGCAAGGATGGGCTGGCCCGACAGCCTACGAAGACCCAGAAATTATAAAGAGGCACTTGGTACAACCAGTGCCTTCGCAGCTAGGGGGTGACGGTGCTGGTGATGGGATCTTTGGACCAAGCGGACAATCACCATCATTCCGTGTGGGTTCTCCAGCTAGTACATCGAAGCAAGCAATTGAAAATGTAGCACCTGGGCTAGATGACGACGAGTTCTCAAGTCTGCGATTACAGGGTGGTGATGTTACTAGGCCTATATACAGATGGACCGAGGATGCCCACAGAGCAAGTCGATCTCAGAGAAGTAAGAGCTTCCATATTTCGCGACCAGAAGCAGAGAACGAAGTCCTTGACATAGGTACAATCAAAGTGCCAGGCGGTTTCAGACGAAACTATCTACGCCGAGCAGCAGGCAGCCCAACTCCTGAAGGTCTGGACATGGAAGAAGGTGGAGGGCTTACGCAACGACAGCCAAAGATATTTACCAACAACTTCCTCGAGTTTTTGACTATCTACGGTCACTTTGCCGGTGAGGAATTGGAAGAAGACGACGAGGTGCTCGGGCCTGATGAATACTTTGGATCGGATGCGGTCTCTGATGACTATGGTGATGGTAGTGACGAAGACAGAGAGCCCATGGAAAATAGTGCTCTGCTCACACCTGGTCGCCGGAAAAGAAAGCGCAAGGAGCGCGCACCACAGGGAACAACCACTCCTTTCCAAGCTTCGTTGTTATTGCTTAAATCTTTCGTTGGCACTGGTGTGTTATTCCTACCGAAAGCGTACCTCAACGGCGGAATGCTTTTCAGTAACATCATCCTTCTGTGCGTTGCACTTTTGAGTTATTACTGTTTCGTATTGCTCGTCAATACGCGGCTAAAGGTTGAAGCGTCATTTGGTGATATGGGAGGTGTTCTATATGGAAGATGGATGCGAACAGTCATTCTCGCATCGATCGTTATTAGTCAGATGGGATTCGTGGCTGCATATATTGTATTCACATCGGAGAATCTGCAGGCCTTTATAGCAGCTGTGACTAATTGTAGAGTTCACTGGGAGGTCTCATGGTTGATCTTGCTTCAGATGGCTATTTTCTTGCCATTCTCTCTTTTGCGCGATATCAGCAAGCTTGGGTTTACCGCACTAATCGCAGATGCGTTCATTCTTATCGGCTTGATTTATCTCTATTACTACGACATTTTCACAATTGTGAAACAGGGTGGTATCTCTGATATCGTCAATTTCAATCAGCAAGACTGGACATTGTTCATTGGTACCGCCATTTTTACTTTCGAAGGAATCGGCCTGATCATACCTATTCAAGAATCCATGAAGAATCCGAAGAAATTTCCTCCCGTTCTTGGTATGGTCATGATCATCATCAGCGTAGTATTCATCTCCATGGGTGCTCTTTCGTACGCTGCATTTGGGTCCCATGTAGAAACAGTTGTTCTACTCAATCTTCCCCAGGATGACAAGATGGTTAATGGGGTCCAGTTCCTCTACTCATGCGCTATTCTTCTATCAACTCCCCTACAGATCTTTCCGGCCATTAGAATTACAGAAAATGAACTCTTTACCAAAAGCGGAAAATACAACCCTTATATCAAATGGCAGAAGAACGTTTTTCGCTTCTTCGTCGTTGCTCTCTGCGCGTCTATCGCTTATGTTGGTTCCAATGATTTGGATAAATTCGTCTCGATTGTGGGAAGTTTTGCTTGCATTCCGTTGGTCTTTATATACCCGGTATGTACTTCCTTTCACGCCCATTGCGGATCCTCTCCGCAGTGGCATACTTCAAATTCCTACAAGTGACAAACTAACGATTCAACAGCCAATGCTTCATTACCGCGGTGTAGCCAGAACGCGTTTCCGCAAAGGGGCGGACATCTTACTCTGTATATTCGGCCTGGTGGTCATGGTGTACACTACAGCATTAACCGTCATCAGCTGGACAAGTGCTGCTGATAATGTCCCGAACGTAGGCTATTGTGATAGGAAAGATAGAGCAGGGGGGGAGTTGCCAATGTTTTAATCGCATACAGCATTATCTCACAGGCAAGGTGGGAAGTCAAGATGTGGAGCTTGTATGCATGTATAAATTGAATACACACATACATACAATGGATCGGCTTTTTTTCTTCTTTTTTTTGTGTTTTATGATATTAGATTACTGAGAATTCTTGATGGATTGTATGGGCTGATTGGAAGCATAGCGTTGCGTTGCGCTGGACATGGGTATCTTTTAGTTTTCTTTCATTTTTGGGTGTCGTTACTTAATTGTTGTTATAGATGTTGAAATCATGATACATTCACATTGACCTTGCTGATTTAATTTTTCTTTTATTTTCTTTTTCTCTTTTTCTTTGGTTATATATTTTGATCCTACTGCGTAGATTGTGGACATATACTATTCATATTTTATCTTTCCGATAGTGAAACCGGTTTACTTTGGATTTTGATGTGCTAATTATAGTTATTGGTCCTAACTTTGCGATCTCCTTTATATGTTTTTATACTTAGTTCCTTATGGGAGTAGATTATGGCAATGCCTGTGTTTATGCGAGATTTATAATAGTCTTTTATTCATTCTCAACCCTACATTAGCAATGAATGTTTTTTCAAAGCGCATGCGAGCTGCTTATTACCTCACACGCTAGTCTTCGTATCTCTACATGAATACTGCAGCTAGTTGACGTTCATCTAAGAAGCAGATTCCCACGCTGGCCTCCTTTCACTCAAGACCTCACTAGCCATTTGCGGCTTTTCCACAAAGAACGAATCTCACAATGCTCCAGTCCTTGAATCCCATTCTTATAATAAGTTTCGAAGAAATATCAAAAATAGTGCTTTTCCCCTGATGACAAAGGAACAGCGCTATTATCTTCATGTTATATACATTGCTCATAAATTCATGAGATTTCCATGTCTCCAAATACTCACTCATTACGCTCTATAGAGATCCTCATACGTATTATCAAACACACTTAAAAAAAAGTCCTATTTTTCGTATAATTAAATTATCATGGCCGGTGCTCCTCCTCCTCCACTCCCTTTGGGTTCTTTTGCAGGAACCAGTGAGTACAATTTGATTTTCTAGTTTCACATTATTGAACTCCAATTCGAAAATCCAAAATCCAAACCCATGTTTTATCTCCTTCAGTATCTTCCTTCGCATGTCTTCGTCTACACACCCTCCTTAAAATTTAAAAATAACCACTAACCCGATCAGTGATCAACGGCGCCCCCGCAACCAAAGTCACAGCTTCCATGACTACTCTCTCCGCCCTCCCCATTCTCCGGCACACAATCATGCGTCCTAACCGTGTCCTACTAGTGGGAACCCGTCGTGTCCCCAACGAAGAATCATGGCTAGCAACCCAAGTCGGCGAGTTACAAGTCCGCGCTTGTCGCAATTGCGCCAAGGGTAACGGGCCTTTTACCGATTGTGTAGTGGTCCCAGGCCGTTTTAAGGAAGCCTGTACGAATTGCTATTATGGGGGCACGGGAAGCAGATGCACGTTGAGACATGGTATGTGTATATTTTTCTTAATAGATTGAAAATTAAATATTGAAGATTGCATGGATAAGTGGAAAGTCAGACTAATTCGCGCATCAATAGATCATGAAAATGCAGTAGCACATCTTCAAGCTGGAGTTCAGCCAGCTCCAATTGTACCAGGCATGGCACCTGCTTTTAATTTTGGTGGTCAAATGGGTGGTGGCATGGGGGGCGTGGGAGGTTTTGTGGCGCCTCCTGGAGCTACGGGATTCGTACCGCCTCAGGGCGGTCAAGCTCCAGGCAATGTTCCGCGAGGTGGAGGTTCAGGGGGCGCGCGACGTATTGCGCCGCTCTTGGTTGGGCCGCTGGGTAGTGGATTTGGGGGAGCGGCAGCGGCAGCGGCGCAGGCAACGGTGGTAATTCCTGCTCTCGCCGGTGTGGCATATGGGCCAACGAGACGCTCCAGATTGAGGTTTGCGAGGAGCTTGAATAATATAGCGTTGCAGGCAGAGAGGATCAGGATAAGAACTGAGATGGCGAGGTTGAGGTCCGAGTTGTTTGCGGTTGAGGATGTGATTGATGAGAGGGATGTTGGGGCGCATTTAGACGATGATATGGACGGCGGGTTGGAAGATGCTGATCAAGCAGCGGCGGATGATAATCAAGCAATAGAGGATACTGATCAAGCAATAGAAGAAGAGGAGGAGGAAGAACCGGAAGCCCACGTAGAATCCGAATTCGAAGCAGAAGAAGAGGAGGAGGAAGAACCGGAGGCCCAGGTAGAGCCCCCAGCCAAAAGGGTAAACACAGGGAAAAGAAAGCGATAAACGAATCATGTATAAATATTAGACGATAGAGATCTGGAGAAAGAACGCGTTCGAAATAGCAAACGTAACGCATTATTGGAATACATAGATAGAGTCTTCACTTCCATCTTTTCATTCCATTACTCAACTCATCTTTTCACGCCTTTTGTTTCCGCTGCATGTTTTAATCGATAGTCTTTTTGGCAATAGAAAATTAGTTTTTTAGATTTACAAATTCGATAAAAAGATTGTTTTTTTTAAATGCGGAAAATTCATAAATACAAAAGTCCACCCATCGCAAAAATGTGTATCCATAAGAAAATCATAAGCCTGCATGAGACGGGAAACCGCGCCCATTCTCTGTTTTCCATCCAGACCCTCGGAGTATCAGATTATAGGGTATTTTGAACTCGTGATATCTGCCGTGCTTTACAAACGACTTGATCCCTCTCTAATCAATTTCCTCATTCCCTCCCTCACCTCCGTCACAATATCGCCAGCATCCATAGTCTCTCGGACTAAACCAACCCCAGTACCCGCGTATGTACACAATCGTCCTTTGTTTCCATACCCCTCGTCTCCTTTCCTCGCTTCTGCTTCATAAAGTTCTTTGTTCTGCTCAATGCTCATACCATTCATTTCATCCCAGAAACTCCTATTAACTACTGCCCTCCCATTGTATTCTTCTGGCCAGCCTGCTGTTCCTCTCAATTTGTCATAGAGTGTTGTTCTCGTGGTTGATATACCACCATCCTGTGCTGCCAAGATCGCGTTTCTGTAGCCCGTAGGAATCACTGCCTCCGAAGAAGCTAAAAATCGTGTACCCATACATATCCCACTAGCGCCTAACATAAATGCGGCAGCAGCTCCACGTGACTCAACGATTCCGCCAGCAGCGATAAGAGGTATGTGGGAGTATTCGCTTGAGCGTAATGCGGATGTGCATTCAGGAAGCAGGGAGACGATCGAAGAGGAATGAGTGAGACCGTGACCGCCGGCATCAGAACCCTGAATAACGAGAACATCGGGATCACAATAGTGAGCAGCTGATATTGCAGACGCAACGCTGCCAACTTGAATCCAAATCTTAGTGAGATTGCCTGTGAGTTTCCGGATAGATTCCGTCCATTCTTGCAAGTCTGAGCCAGTATGTGGTGCGAACAGCCATATTGCTGAAGGTGGAAAAGGGAGCGGAGCAAGAATCGACAGAACGTGCTCGAGATCGCAGCCCCAGACTATGAAACCTATCCCTATGGGGAGAGTATCTCGATAACTGCCAGGAATGGGCTCGTCTCTAAGAGAATCCTGAATCTCTCTAATTTCATCCGAAAGGGTGGAGAGGCTGAATGGTTTGTATTGTTAGTTTGATTGCATATAATGTTCTGTCCAACGCAGCTTAAGTTGAGATGGGGATAGAAAACAGTACGAATTTTAAAGAATAACAGGTATTTCGAACGACAAACCAGTGGTCGTTATTGGTTCAACGTCAACGCCAGTTAAATAAAATATCAAAGGTTTATGATCGTCATAAGAATGGAGCATGCTATGCGTTAAACGGCTCTCCGCTCGCTGAGCTCGACTTTATGGACAAACTCCACACTTATGGAATGCCCTCCACGAAAAGCAATTGGGCGACAAAAAAATGGAGATAATGAAATAGGGTTAGCTCACTCGGTACCAGCAGCAAGAAAACCTAAACCACCAGCTCTAGAAACAGCTAAAGCTAAGGCAGGTTTTGAGATTAAGCGCATGGGAGCAGATGATATAAGCGGATAAGTTGTCCATGGATAGTCCTTACGGAGCGTTTGTTTGTGGTTGGAAGGCGGCATTTCGATATAATCAGAGCTCCCCGTAGTTAGGAGATCGACAAGATGATTGGTGTTTACTGTAATTTTTGATGTTTGAGGATGATATAAAGAAGCTGGATGGATCTGAAGTTGGAAAACAGACGATATCTATATGACCTCCATACACAACACAACAAACAACAACAGTAGCTGCTGCAGCAGCAACAAAACCAAGTACTTGCTGGAGATGTCTTCCAAGCTATGAGTGTGCTGCGTCACAGGAATTATAAACTGATACAAAAGTCACCGTAATATGGTTTATATGTACGGTTGTGCGACGTGACGTAGTATACATTCAGAATAATTTACAACAACAATGTTGATGAGGCTGAGAACAGAAAGGCTGGTAACCTCGGTCGAGCTCCTTCCATGAATTGTTACTATGCCTAATTTGTATTAGCTCTATCAAGCCTTGGCATCATCTTTCTCGCCAAAAAGAGCTTCACTTCACAAGTAAAGTTCACAAGTTTACATCTTCACTGTCATTGCCAATTATCAACCACCAAACTCACCTTCCGAGCTTCTTACTGGTTCTACGCCCTTCCGTATTTCTTAACTATTTTATGTATCCCAATTGAACAGCTTTAAAACTTCAGACGAGCACTCGATATCTTTGAATATATTGTAAGTTCTTTCCTGGCTTGTCGCATCTCCAGCAGAACTGTCAAAGCAGACAAAGAGAAAATTACCAAAGAGAACAATTACTGAAGCAATCATGACTTTCACAGATAGTAGAGCAGATTTAGCAAGCATGTCTAACGCGCCTGAGAGGTACATGATTTACCCCAGAGCTTCTCCATATACATGTGCCCCGCACCATATTGAAAGATGGAAACTAAATCTCGCTCAACAGATTCGAGTTATTTATCCTTGGAGAGGGCGAGAAGAAGTGTACTGAGGAGGCCGATACCCGTACGTTGTAGATAAATTGCGCATACGGATTTACATGCAGAGTTATTATACTGATAACTTGTTATGCAGGTACCCCCAATTCTTCGATCTTTACCTTCAACAAGGAAGACCACACCCTCGCCAATATTCTACGTGCTCATTTATTGAAAGATCCGCATGTTATATTCTCCGGTTACAAAAGTGCGCTCTTTCCTAGCACACAGCTCCATAACAACGATTACCAAGACCTTTTCTAGATTATATACTAACGGGAGGCGCATAGTTCCTCATCCCCTCTTCTCCAAGTTCGAACTCCGCATTCAAACCGATGGTGAAATCACTCCCAAGGAAGCTCTTGTCGCCTGTTGCCGTAACTTGGTATCGGAACTTGAGGTGTTCAGCCGTGAATTTACAAAGGAGTTTGAGCTACGCAAGATGGTCAGTGGAGATGTAGCTGCCGACAAATGAGGCAGTGTATATAAATATTTGCGGTTAAGGTTTGGGGCGTTTAGAAAGGCAGGGGATATATGGCGCAAAAATGGTATGGGGGTGTTAAGATTCCATCATGAGTCTGGGTTGATTACATGAGCCATCATGAGGTGGATCTTTAATTCATGAAGGAACGGCGTCCGCAATTAGCATTGAGATATTTCAGTATTTCTGCAATTGCAAGAGATATGTTCCCCTTACACCGGATGTCTATGATTTATCTATGAATTGAATTGATTGTGCACTTTTGGCACAAAAAGGAAGCGGGTTGGTAGGTCGGGGAGTAACAGCATATAAGGCAGGAACACGGAACGTCGAATCTGGGGAGCGAAAGCCTATGTCACTTACAAGCTGTTTAGTTAAGCTTTAATCCGACATGCTCTGCGCCATCTCCACACTCTTTTGTGATTACATCAAGGAAGATCAGCAGCGCGCTGGGTAAAAAGACGCGCAAATGTCTGCGACTTTCCCATATGATTGCTGGCCATGATTAGTCGTCTTCGAGTTCCCTTCTTGCCTATTTTTCCGGAATATGAGCCTTCACAAACCATCATAGATCTAAGAGCAATCAACTATGAGCGACCCATATTGTGCTTGAAGTCCGTACCAATTGTTATTCATAGCTGAGAGTAGAGATCTGGTTTCGGGGCTAAACAATGGGTATGGGCATGGCACACAAAGGTATGGGACAACGCTAAGGCAGGTGCAGTGAGGAAGTCCAAGTATGAATTGGTTACCAGAAAATTATCAAGCACGCCGAAACATGGCCAGCACTTCAAGAATGGTGATCAACTCATGTACTACTAGGCAATTATGAATAAAACCGGATCATCAGTTGAGGAATGTATTTACATTATGGGAATGAACCAAATGCATGTAATTATTACTTCTGAAACATTTTGGCGTGCTTGAATGGCAACCCAGCGCATGTCTTAGATTCAAAATCCTTTGAAATGTGAAAAGATTTGCATTCCATCTTAACAAAAAGTCATGGCAATGTCTTTATGAATTGTCTCCTCTCTTTCGACATTCAGATCCCCTCGCCCTCAATTAAGAAGACACACGGAAAACGAACTTCCTATTAAGGATATGCTTCCTCTACAGAGCCTCACACTCAGTTAAGAGTGCTGGCAACACACCACTGTTTCGAAGTCGAGGTGGAGGTCGTGGCTGGCTCTGATACTTTTTGATGAAGAAGAAAAGAAAATTGTTGCGCAAATTTTGGTGTTTTGTAGCCGCATTGGTGATTGGCGCTAGTTACTAAGCGAGAAGCAGAGTTTGCATATTTAAGCTAAGCCTAATTTAAAATTACCCGCGGATCTGCCACGTGACAGATTTTCAGTCTAGGAATATCAATGCCAATCCCAGATTTTTCCATTCCACGGATGGGCGGCTGCATACCATCTTACACTCTGCATTCCGATGTTTATCTGGGTGCGCCATCCACAAGTGCGAGTTATATGGACACCCTTACTTGATTCTCAGGTTTCTCTCAATCAGTGTTGAGTTATGTCTCCCGGCAGTTCGGTTACTCCTCTTGGAAGAACCTTCAATTTTCTTAAATTATGATGGCCATGCTGAGCTGAGATTTCTCCGCGGGTGCGGATGGATAAGTTAGTGTTTATCACTCTCTACTTTGTTCCAAAAGAATATCAAAATATACATCATGAAGGTGCAGTCAAGCTTCTATTTTTGATCTTTTACTATTGCGGTGTTGAGAACTTCAATACAGAATAGAAAGTTTGCAGACTTGGAGAACTTTACAGATTTCTGCCTTAGCAGGAGCCACCGAATTTTGAGACGTTCATGAAATTATTGTTTTTTACGCCACATTCGAAGGTTGCTATCATTCCTGAATACCGACACAGGGAGGCCTAGCCGCGTCTCTTTTGCGATCATGAAGCAAAATTTGTGTGCATATAATAGCATTATACACGCATCGTAGTCATTCATTGTATAATGTCCAATTACAACTATGTGTATATCAATGTTGTAAACATGGTGCTAAGGGCCTTTTATTACTACAATTCCAAGGATCAATGTCTCGAGTTGGCGTTCAATCCGGGTCGTGAACTCAGGTATGAGGCTTTTAATAGCGGAGAATGTCAGGACAGTGAAACATTGTTGAGCAATATAGATATAGCCAAGCCCATCGACAATTTAGTTTGATGGTATGAATCTCCTAGGGTCGGTGGTTCCACGATGTTTGCGATTATACGGTTGCTTCTTCTTGCTGCGGTAGTTACGGCGTTCGTCGATGTTGAAATGACCCCGAAAACAATCGGACAGCAAAAGCCTTGTCAAACCGAGTGGTTGCTGATGGCGTTCTTCAGCTGGGACTGACAAAAGTTGACGGAGTCACAAATATTCGAATAAGACAATCCAAGTCAAATCTGGCCAATCCTTACATTGGTGATATTTACATGATCACTGGTACATCCATTCGAGCACATTTCTTACATTAGCTGATCATAAGCAGTGCAAATTGGATATCCTCAGCAGACTATAACCCTCAGTCTAGATATAGGAAGTAGTGACGTTTGGGTGAACCTACAGTGCTCTACCTCGGGATGGGCATCATTTTGCGGCAGTTATCCTCAGTACGATCCTACAAAATCTGCGTCATTTGTACCATTGAGTCAAGCTCTGAATTTGAAGTATGGGATCGGTGCGGTTACAGGAGCTTATGCGACGGACAATTTCGTGTAAGAAAACATTCCACTTTCTCAAGGAGTTTTTACTAACCATAACCGTTAGAATGGGATCGGGCCAGACTATCAAAAAACTACAATTCGGTGGTGCATCGGCTAGTACTCGAATGTTTGCGGGTATAATGAGTGTATCCTGGGGACTAGGCCTTGGAACCGGTTATCACAACATTATTGATCAACTTGCCCTACGAGGTCTAACAAAAGCCCGCGCGTTTGCCATAGACTTGGGTAATGTAGATACTGCTTCAGGTATAATCGTCAGTGCTTCTTTAATTATTTCAAAGAGTTGACTCATCTTATAGGTTCAATTATTTTCGGTGGTCTTGATACAAAAAAGTATTATGGCTCATTGATCAAAAATCCTATTATACCATTTTACCAAAGTCCCGATGGATATCCAAGGTAATTGATTCTATTATTTATATCCTACATATTGGATGGTCTTGCTGAACAGCTGCGTGCTAGATATTGGATTAACATGACATACTTTGGAGTTACATTTCCAGGAGAGCTACCCCTGAACTTTACCCCTCTTGTCTATGCAAAGCCAGTTATCGTGGACTCTGGAAGCACGCTCAGTTACCTACCACCTTCCCTGGTTAACGCCATGCTCCCATATTTTCCCGGATGGGTCAGCAAAGGAGGTGGTCTTTATACCATTCCTTGTAGCTTCAAAAATGTTCCGGGAACGATGGATTTCGGGTTCGCGGATAAAATTATCAGAATTTAATTGGCTTAGTTTATATGGTTTAATGGTGCTACATGCTACGGGCCTATCGCCAATGCTGCTGAAAAGACCGATGTAATTTTAGGAGATACCTTCATGAGGGGCGCTTATGTGGTCTTTGACCAAGATAACGCAAATGTTCATATCGCACAAGCTGCAAATTGCGGTACAAATATTGTAGCCATTACTTCGGGTATCAACGGAGTTGCTCCAATGATAGGTGCCTGCCCTAGTCCAGCGTATTCTTATGGGCCATCATCATCATTGGTTAGTACATCTTGATTTTAACAATGCAAACTCAATATCAACGCCTAGAACTAGAACCTCTAACATATAGAAGGTAAATACAACAACGTCAGCCAGAACCTCATCTTCTTCGAGAAGTAAGTAATCTCTAATCATACGCTCTCCTTACGATAGCAAAGAACTCACAACTCACCTTTTCACCTTTCAGCACGTATCCTAAAAGATAATACTAATTCCGTTCATTCAGGTTCGACGAAATCATCCTCCTCTTCCTTTTTCCTCCGCCTCCCCATCCGCATTGAGACTCACTTCAACGAGCTCCTCTCTTACCAGATCACCAAGTACAGCTTCTACTACTTCATCCTCATCTTCATCAAAAATTAGTTCGACGAGCGCTTCTCCCGCAATATTTGCAAGTAGATCCTCAAGCGTAACATCAATAACATCAACCAAGTCTCCTACGCTCTCTTCCTCACGTTTACCATCTTCATCCCTATCCTGCGGCACAGGTTGCGGACCCACTACTGTTTATATTACTGTCACCATGACAAAGACGAATTAGAAGCAATATATGCGTGTGCTCAGTCTCTTTTCATTTCAACTCTACAAGGATAGATTCAACGGGTTCGGTGTCGAGCGCTTGTGGGTTGGATAGTTTTACTGTGGTTGGGATGACTGAGGTCATTTGTTTTACGTAGGGATTTTTGTATTACATTATCATCAGCATCTTAACAGTCACTGTGTACGAGGGTAGCTATCACAGAAATGCGGAAAACTCATGTAATAGTACCATGGAAATATACGTACAGAGACTTACTTTAGAACAAGTCCATTTAAATTGTGTGACGTGTACACAAGAGTGAGAAACTTTTAACCTTTCCTGCTTTTAAACTGGTCTCGGGATATCAATAGAAAGAAGTCTGTCATGATTATCTGCCTAACCCGCCGCGGAATTTTTCGCTAGTGGGGCTGGGACTGGGAAGTAGGCTAGCATTCGAGGCGTCTATGGCCAATACTTTTTTGTCTTTCTTTGTGTCCAGTTTGGTTATCACAAAGCACTCGTAGTCTTATGTTCCGGTTCATATTTCGTGAGGTCTTCATTCATATCAAAGAAAAGTAAATTCTTTGGTACCTTGAGATAGATTTTATAATTTTGATATTCTAGTAAAATTAAAAAAATGACATTGACGCTAGACTCTCATTATTCTTTTCACAAAGATATCAATTTAGCAAGCGTCGTAGCGGAAATTTGTATAGCCCTAGCCATGCCTGATTTGCGAATACTTCAAGATCTGGCTCTTGTCCCCCATAACCTTCAATCTAATCTGAATCTATTATTTCATTGATCCAAGGGTCATCAGCCAATTGCCTAGCCGTTTTTCTGTCTTCCGGTCGCCACTGAAGCATACCACGCATGAAATTCAAAAACATCTCCTTGTTCCTACCCTGAAGACGTAGTTCGGTTTTCTCCAATTCTAGATCTTCCACGATAGGCATCTCAGCTATCCATTTACCTAGAAAATCACAAATTAGTTTTTGCTTTCAAACAGAAGTTTATCTTTCAAGTTACGCACCTTCTTTGTCAAAGAACTCTGAAACTCGTATCCCTCTTTCAAGGAAATCCAAAGGCGGGGGGCCCAACATTCCGATAACCTCCGCTAGATGAGCACGCGTGGAATAACCCTCTCCATCGGAATCTTGACCATGGAACATATGTTTACCCTCGAATAAATCCCAAATCATCACACCTACATTCCATATATCGACAGGATAACTCCAAGCAGCTTGTATCATGACTTCAGGTGCCTATCGGGAGATCAGTATACATTTCTAGAGCTGGAAGACGTTGGCTTGCAATTAAGTTAGATTCATACTAACCCTATAAACTTGAGGTCCTGCTTCATGATTCCTCTTTTCATCACCTCGAACTGCTGAGCCAAAGTCGCTCAAAACCGAATCGCCGAATGTTTTTGGGACGTCTAATATCCGTGAAGCATATACAGTCACACCGTTGACCAATTTGCGAGGTGAAGGACATTCAATTTCTGCTTCTGTAAAGGCATCGAGGATGGAATTGTCCTCGATGTCAGTCATCATGTTATCTGGCTTGATGTCTGTAAGATGTGATTAATATCTTTCAATATGTTGAGCAAAATAAGAAGAGGAAATGAGTTCCCGTACCGGTATGAACAAGTTGACATTCAGTATGCAAGTAATCCAAAGCAGCGAACAGCTGTTGCAATGCACCTTTCAGAATATTCTCTGTGAAACAGCCGTCCGGAAGACGATAACAAGTGTGTTTAAAGCTCTCCCACATTGGCTTTTGAACAAGACAGGCATGCTCACCGCCTATACGGGGTATCGTAAATATTTCCAAGGCTGTTCTAATATGGAAGTATCCAGGATGTGATTTGTTGCCTGTGCTGAGACGTTGATAGATCTGAAATTCTTCTTGTGGGTCTCCGTCGCGGGTGTAAATTTTCAGAGAAACGTGTTCATGTGCTCTTGTTTGTTAGTACATGACCATATGCCTATGATACGAAGGACGTACTGGAGGTCGCGAGCTAACCAGACTGTGGAGGTCACACCATATCCAAGCTTTCCAACAACTTGGTATTTAGATGCAAAAACATCACCAATATTCACAGGATAATACAGCCCTTTTTTGAAACCCTCAAATTGCTCTTCGTCAAGTGGCAGGGCGTCGTCGATCAATTCAAACCCTTCCGTAGAGAAGTGCAGTGGGGGCGATGGTGCTCTTCTAGTAACTGCTCTTGCCCATCTTAAAATTGATGCCATTTCTGATAAATTGTGTAGTGATATGCTTATGTTCTTTTTCAATGAAAAGGTACAGAGCCATAAAGATGTTTAAATCAAAAAGTGGTGACTGGGAAACGCTTGTGATAAGTGATGGGAATGCAAGTGTCAGCTTTGAGCTTCTTTGAATTTATTGACCAATGAGAGTTCGCTTATCTAGTTTTAAGCCTCGTCTAGTTTTACAAACAACATCTCAGTGGATGTCTCATCACCTCTCGTGCATATCCGTACTCTAAGACATAGCTGACAGAGACCCAGCCTGATGTACCATATCACCGGTACTAAGCGCCCACATGATTTTATGCTGTCTCGTCATCTAAGGTAACCAAGGAAGAGCTTGAGATGAGATCCCAATTTTATATTCACATTGTGAATGCCGCGCGGACGATGGGGAATTGGTCAACTAAACGTTGAGTTCTTCGAACTGAACCATGGCATGACAACGCATTTTTTTATTCTATCCAGAGTAATTTCACTCAAGTCCATAACACTCAGTTGTTCACAAATGTTTACTGGGCTTCATGTATCCGCAAGGAGAGCTTGGCTTTACCAAAAATAAAATGCCTTATCAAGTGCATGGTTGCTTCTTGCTTGTTTGGCTTGTCGGCGTCTTGGGTTATATATCTCATATATCGACAAATTGGTGTTCCTGAAACCTCCGCTGCTTCTCTTTACTCTATTTACGATGCATTTACAGTCACTTGGGGCCAAGCTGCAAACCTTCCACAGGCCGATAAGTATTAGATGCCAAGCCAATCACCTACAGCTTCACCCCGTCTTCAGAAACAATTCTGAGAATGTTTGATTTTCGTTATAAGTGGTTTGGTCTTGCTGTCTTACTCTATCCACCAGAATATACACAATGTAGGTTTCCCTTCTTTTGAGATTCATGTCATATGTCCATATATGAAGATAGAATTTCCTGTTGTTGTATTGCAGCACACAATCTTCTTAGCACACATTACCACCCTACCATACTTTTCTATTCAGTCATGTCTCCACTTCTCAGTCCATCTGTTTTAGCATTTATTAAGTTCATTGGATTCGATAGAGAGAAATTGCCAACTATTTACAAAAAACATCTCGATAAAACTATCACTCCTGGTGGAAAAGCAGAACAAGTAAGTTTTCTAATGCTCATGCAACTAGATTGATGAGACTATGAGCTTTTTTCAACAAATATAACTCGAAAAGTTTAAATTTTCCAGATCAATTGGCTAACGAAGAGTGAAATAGGTTGTTGGGAAAGTGCAGCAAGTCAACATCAAGTATACAATTTCACCTGCGATGACAAATTCGACTAAGATCTAACTATATTCACAGATCAAGATGTGGAAATCCTGTCCACAAATCTCATTACAATCCTGCCGACAAAGAAGATATTATTAGTGTGAAAATTTTGGGCTCAAAGGGATCAAAGACATTTCATATTTATCCAGACGGGATGGCAACAAGCAACAAAGATGAAAGAAAAACCGAAAAGCAACGATGAAGTGACTTATGTCTCTCTGCTGTGTTCATATGGCTTCTAGTTCTGTCTCCTGTCCATACTTAGTCAGGAGAATGATGTTTCTAAGCAGTCAACACAGGGTTTGATTGAAGTGCAGAATATTTCGTTGCGGGGTGTGCTTTTGTTGTTATTCCGGTTGTTTGTTCTGAAAAATGTTTATTTCTATATCGATCTAGATTGAATGAATTAAAAGCAATCGCTTTCCTTGATTGATTCTGATTAGTAGTTGTTATTTTAAATTCCTAAAAAATATATAATATAGGATTTCTGCTTGCGAATGAAACTATAGAACCTATAATAATTCTACTCATTGTCTAATGGTTAGTTGTCTAGGTCCCCTAGTCATCCCTTGTAGGTTTAAGTAAATAGCGACCTTCAATTGAGAGTATATAGATGGTTTTCTTGGTTGGAAAAGCTTTTATTTCCGAATATGATTGATATCGGTTGAGAAATCAGGGTTTCGCCCTACTACTTGTCATCTGAATGAATTCAGATAAGATAGAACACAAGTATATATTTAACTATTACACTTTTCTAAGATCTTATATAAAAATCAAATTAGTTGTATACTCAAAACCAATACTTAAGTCTAGTACTTTAGTTTCTTATTGGTCTAAAATACCCCGGTAAAAAATCTAACAAAAAGCTTGGCATAAGCCTTACAACCTTAGACAAATCTGACTTAGAGCTTTTTTCAATTCAACTCAATTGAAATCATTCAACTCTATTGAAACATTCAACTCTATTAGAATCATTCAACTCTATTAGAATCATTCAACTCTATTGAATCATTCAACTCTATTGAATCATTCAACTCTATTGAATCATTCAACTCTATTGAATCATTCAACTCTATTGAATCATTCAACTCTATTGAATCATTCAACTCTATTGAATCATTCAACTCTATTGAATCATTCAACTCTATTGAATCATTCAACTCAATTCACAGTTCAATTGAAATCATTCAACTCTACTCATTCAATCCAATTCTATTCAACTCTATTCATTTAATTCATCTCATTCAACTTATTATTATAATAATAATAATAATAATAATAATAATAATAATAATAATAATAATAATAATAATAATAATAATAATAATAAATAATATAAAATATTGTTATTATTATAAATAATATTAAAAATAATATATATTACTATTATTTTAAATATTATAAATAATAATATTAAATAATAAGTCTAGTTATTAACTTGTTGACTTTATAACCTTATTATATACAAGGTTTATCTAATAAGTGATGGAAAATGAGAAACTTATTTAAATGAATCACGATCTTAACAATCTGATTGTGTTACGATTTACGATTAAGATAAGGATATATTGAGGGGCAACAATTAATGTGTTCATATGAGCTTAGGCCTTATCGAAAAGCAAAGTGATTTGTATACAAATTTGTATAGTAATCGTTTTATATAATCTTCCTATTTTTAACAAACTCGGATATATAATCTGATCTTAATTATATAATAAAGAGTTTTGGAAGCTTCGAAAGTTTTTAGAATTTTAAAAACTTTTTGAAGTTTTAAAGTTTTATAAAACTTCTTTATATTCATTAATATATAATCAAAATAATTTCATAATTTAAAAGCTTTATATTCAATTTAGTTATCAATTAATTTATTTATATTTCAACTGATTTAGTAATGTATTCACTTTCGAATAGATAATTAATGATTATTAGCCTTAATCTATAACTACTAATTATACGAAAACCTGAGGCAGCCACTGCCTCGACCAGATCGTTATAGATTGATCTAAATGTAACGATCTGATTGAGGCAACGGCTGCCTGAGGTTTCATATAATTGATAGTTATAGATTAAGATTAATAATCATTGATTATCTATTCGAAAATAAATATATTATTAAATCAATTAGAGTGTAAATAAACTAATTAATAATTAAATTGAATATAAAGTTTCTAAATTATAAAACTATTCTGATTATATACTAATCTCTTTTTTTGTATATTAACTTTATTAATTAATTAACATAATTAATATTTCTATAATATTAACTTTATTAATTGATTAACAAAGTTAATATATTATATAATTGATTTTAAAACCTTTTATATTCTAAAATCTTTTTTTTCCTAAAATATTTATTTCAAAAGTTTTCCCTTCAGGAATTATAACTTTAAGATATAATATCCTTTAAGATAATAATTCTATTATAATTAATTAGATAGAATATTTATTTTATTTTATTATAATTGTTTAAGATATTTATCTTTGAAATCCTGGAATTCTAAACTTAAATAATTAAGACTCTCGAAAACAACAGTTATATTATACCCTCTTTGTAATTAGTATATAAATTATTAACATCAATAATATTATAAAAGTGATAGGTCGAGATATATATGTCCTGATAGTATATTGTAAGAAAGGAATTGGAAGAGAAAGCTGAATTAGATTATATTATAATATGTTATTTATAAGTAAAACAAGATTTATATATCACGATTCACGGTTTTCTTTATAGTAGTATTATTGACGTCGGTGATTTATATGCCGATTACAGGGGGGGTGTGATTTAATCGTTGCTTTCGGGGGTCCTGATTACCTAAGCTTAGGACCCCAGGATTCCTAGGATAAGTGTCCTAGGCAACCATAGTAGAATAGGACAAGTGTTCTACCTAATTGGTTGTAATAGGATTATCACCCTAAAGGATATTGTATTCTAGGGTTATAATTCCTAAAAGGAAAGCTTTTGGGATAAATATTTTAGGAAAGGAAAGGCCTTAGGATATAAAAGGCTTCAGGATCAATCATGTGATATATTAGCTCTGCTAACCCAACTAGCAGAACTAACATCACAGGAATGCTAATCGTGTTAGTCCAGTTAATATAACTAGTATAGGAAAAGAGATTAGTATATAATCAAAGTAATTTCATAGTTTAGAAGTTTTGTATTCAATTTAATTATCAATTAGTTTATTTATATTCTAATTGATCTAGTAATATATTCATTTTCGAATGGATAATTAATGATTATTAACCTTAACTTATAATTACCAATTATACGAAAACCAGAGGCAATCGTTACCTCAACCAGATCGTTACATTTTGAGCATTGTTATAATTAAACTATACACAGTATAATAACTTTTAACTAACAGTTTACCAAATCATCTCTATTCAACCTAATCGAAGCCCTTATTCAAATCGTTGTTATTATAGAATATAAACAAGCGATTCAGATATCCATCCTTGATCTATTCCATAAAGATTATAATAAATATCAAGCTTTTGTTGTACAAACTGATCTCTATTATATTTTTAACAAATAACTTTTCTTAACTTTTATACAAAGGATTTTATAATTAATCTCTTTTTTCTATAAAACTATATTCAATTGAATTAAATCATTTTTCAATAATTTAATAATCAAGATTATTAATAGATAATTGAACAAGAGTATGAAATCTGAGATTCATTATCTTTTCTTTAATTATAAATCATTCAGATAGAAATTTGATAAAGTATTCAGGGAAGTAAACCCTGATCATATAACTGAAAAAGCATTACAACAATTCAGACAGATCGGGTCAGTCATAATCTACACTATCAAGTTTCAATAATACACCAAGTATATTATATAGAATGATAATTATCTAAAATCATAATTCTATAAAGGATTAAAAGATATTATCAAAAATGAATTAACAAAAGCTTCAAAACCATCTAATCTTTTCAAATTAATCGAAACCTTTATTTTTATTAATAATCAATTCTATAAACAACAAATGAAAAAAAAAGAAATCATTCAGGAAAACAGGAAGTTCCAAAAACCTTATCATCAGAACAAACATTACAATACTAACGATCCAATAGAATTGAATGATATCGAACAATATTATATAAAGCCAAACAATTTAAATATTGATGAAAAGAAAAGATATAAAAAGAATAATTTATACTTTATTTACAGAAAAAGCAAACATATATCTTGAGATTGTTCTCAAAAGAAGAAATTATTCATTATAAAAGATAGAAAACAAATAAGATTTGAGAATAGAAAATAAGATTCTCGAAAAACAAGGATTTTGAAAGAAAGTTTAAAGGAAATAAGATTATTGGAAAAAGATCTATCTCAATTCAATTTTGAATAATTAAAAGAATTGAATATCAATAATCAAAACTCTAAAACCAATATTAAAAACAATATCGTTTATAAAAAAGAATCCTCAAAAAATCTTGAATTAGTAGATGAGGAATCAATCAAGGAATTCGAGGAAAATCAATAATTAATTGAATTCTATTATTTGCTTTGGGAAAATGAATTATAATATTTAATCAATTATCTAAACGAAAAACAAATATAACATTATTATAAAGAAAAGAAATCTGATTTCATCGAGAAATATAGAACTTATAATTATTTTATCTTGTTAATACTTTATATAATAATATACAATGATATTTATTATATAATATTTAAGAAAAATATTAAGGTAAACAATACTAGAAGATATATTGTAGATATAGATTCTTTATTCTTCAATAAAGTATAAGAATATAACAAATATAATCTGGAAATTGAAAAGATATAGGAAATCTTATTATAAATTGAAATTTGTTATATTTAATAAAGGATCAATAGAAATAATAAAAAAATATCAAATTGAGATTATTATCAAGACTTCCAAATAAAACCAATAGAATTATTATTCATTATATCTTATCGATTATTGAATATAAACAAATATTAATATAAATAAATAAATCTCTTTATCGAAGAACAAATTATCAAATCATTATCCTTAAAACTCAATAATATTATAAAAATCAAATAATTGATTGTAGAAATCAAATTAGAGAATCAATAAATTAATATCTTGATTGATTTCAAAGTTATAAATATATTTATGGATTTTAATTTTGTAAAAGAGAATAAAATTCCTACAGAATTAAAACAATATCTTTATTAATTAATATTATTAGAAAAAAAGAAAATTGAAATTGATAATTGAATATACAAAGAAATTAACATTATTAGAATGATTATATCAAATGGATATATTAAACAGATCAAAATAGATTTAATATTATTAAACAAATATACAATTATCTTTGATACCCTATAAATTAAAAAATATAATCCAAATATCGATTAAATAAAAGATACCTTAATATTCAATCGTTACAATTACAATAATAAATAACTATATAATCCAAAAGAATAGATTTCCAAAAAAATCAAATACTATATTATAACAACAACAGATCCTTCATTGATTGATAGAATCAATAAAAAAGAAATTCTAATACAATATAAAAGATTCGTTAAGCTTTTCGAAGATCTACAAAATTTGAGGGTTTTATTAGAATATAAATCTTGGAATTATAAAATCAATTTCAAAAAAGGATTTGTATCCCTTATCGAAAAGTTGAGATTATATAATTTTAATATTATACAAATATAAAAAGAATATAAAATTAAAATTGAAAAGAAAGAATAAATTAAGAAATTCAAATCCCCTTATATATCCAATATATTATTAATATTCAAGAAAAGCAACCTAGATAATTAATCTTGTAAAGATTACCATCAGATTAATAATAAAACAATCAAAGATATATATCCAATATTGAAAGTTTAGAAATTCAAGAATAAATTGAATAAAGTAATAATCTATACGAAATTAAATCAAAAAAATACTTTCAATTTAATACAAATAAAAGAGGATTATAAATAGAAAATAACCTTTATATTATTATCAGGTTTATAAAAATATATAATCATATTATTTGAATTAACCAATATATTAATTATATATCAATAATAGAATAATAAGATATTCAAAAAGTTCAATTTATTTGTAATTTATTATCTAAATAATATCTTAATCTTCTTTCAAAAAAAGAAGAAATACAAAGAACATATATTGAAAGTACTTGAAGCATTTAGAAGAATAGATTCAAAATTTAAATTATCGAAATACAAATTTGAAATACAAAAGATAATATTCCTAGAATATATTATTCAATTAAAACAAATAAATATAGATCCTAAAAAAACAAAAAAAGTAAAGAATTAGGAAAAATCCAGGAATATTAAAAATATATAATCTATATTAGAATTCATCAATTTCTATCGAATATTTATAAAAGATTTCTCGAAAATAATAGAACCCTTTACCGAAATAATCAAAAAAAGAATAACTTTTATATAGAATAAAAAGATAGAATAGGCTTTTCAAGAAATCAAGAATAGATTTATAAGGGAATCTATTCTTTACAATTATTATAATGATTAAGAAAGCATTATCGAAATAAATATCTTTGATATTTATATAATAAAAGTTTATTTACAAAGAAATAATAATAAGAAACTATATTCTATTGTTTATTACTTAAACAAAATGAACAAAACAAAACAGAATTACAATATTTATAAAAAAAAACTTATAACTATTATAAAAATATTAAAATATTGAAGAATCTATTTTTAAAAAACTAAATTTCTAATAATCATTTATACTAATCATATAAATCTTCGAATCTTTATCATTATTAAAATCTTAGATAATCATAGATTGATTAAATAAGCTAAGGAATTAATAGAGTTCGATTTGATAATCAAATATATCAAAAGAAAAGATAATACAAAAATAAATACTTTGAACAGACTACCAGATTACAAAGATGATAAAATCTATTAGAAAACAATAATCTTGAAATCCTTACCAAATAAAGATCTTATTTTTAATCTGATGGAAATCGTTATTATAGAAAATAAACTAATAGAGATTTGAAAAGATAAACTTGTAAAAATATAACAGAATAAAAAAAGCATTAAATAATCAGAATTATTAGTAATTATTAACAAATTGTTACGAATAAAGAACAAAATATAATTATCAAATAATATCGTTTCTGAATATATTATAGAATAATATATATTACCAATTTATAGATATCAAGAAGTATAAAAAACATATTTAAAAATCAAAAAACAATATTGAAATCCAGGACTTTACAATATAATCAATAAAATAATCATTGAGTATAATATCTATATTAGAAATAAGACTTTTTGTTATATTCTTTATAAATAGATAAATATCACTGAAATATCATCTATATTATAGAAATCAATATCATAAGATTTTATAAATTCATTATCAAAATCCAAGGATTTAATAATAAAGGTAATATATAATTATCTTCTTATTATAATAAACAAGCTAATAAAGTATCTGATACTTGTATTATATCAAACAATATTGATTATAAAAATACTAACTTTTATATTCTTGAAAGAGGTTATTATAATATATAGATTATCAAAAGAAATACTTTTTGATAAAGATAAACTTTTTACTTTGAAATTTTGGATCATTCTAATAGCATTATTAAAAATAAAAAGAAAAATGTTTATTATATTTTATTTACAAATCAATAAAGAGAATGAAAAAATAAACCAAATTGTTAAAGTTTATTTCCGATATTATATGAATTATCAATAGAATAATTGAATAAAACTTTTATCTTTAATATAATTTATATATAATAATTCAATATCGGAAACAATACAAATCATTCCGAATTACATCAATTATAAATATAAATTGATCATATACTACAAGTCAGGAATCACAGAAATAAAGAATCAGTTTACAATAATACAAATAGAAAGATTCAAAGAAATCTATAAAGAAATAATAATAGAATTGAAATTCGTTGTTGAAAGAAATATATATTATTATAATCGAAAATGTAATTAAAAGTTAATATTAAAAAAAAGGGATAAAATCTATTTACTTCGAAAAAATATCGAAACAAAAAGATTTAGTACAAAATTGAATTACAAGAAATTCAGATTATTTAAAATCAAGAAAATTAAAGGATCTTTGAATTATAAATTGATATTATCAAAAAGTATAAATATACATCCAATATTCTATATATCCCTATTCGAATTAATACCTCTAAAAGTATCTAAAGCTTCTGAAACAGAAATCGTATTTACAGATCAAAATGCTAAATACAAAATGAAGAAAATACTAGATTGTAAATATATTAGAAGTAAAATCAAATACTTGATAAAATAGGAAGATTATCTTGACTCCGAAAATATATAGGAATTTGAGAGAAAAATCAAACATTTGAAAAAGTTCTAGAAGTTTTATTAATAAAATCCGGATTTATTTAAAAGGAAAGAGAATTCATCGTTTCCTATAAAGAAAGATCGAAAGAATCGAAATCGTTTGTAAGATTTTCATTAAAATTAATAAAGTCAATTGATAATTGATCAAATTGATCAAATTAATTAAAGCTTAATTGACCAAATTAACCAAATTGATCAAATTGATCAAATTGACTAAAAAAATCGAAAAGAGTAACAAATACAAAGGATACAACAATTTTTTGTTTCTTTTCTTTTTTTTCTTTTTCTTTCAAAATATCGAGTTCATCTATAGAATTCAAATCAATTATAATTATCTTTTGTTTTCGTTTACAAAGAAATTTCTGTTACTTATTAAAACAAAAAATTTTGAATATCATTTCAAACTAATACCAATAAAAAAGATCCTTTTCAGCATTTATATATTTGATTTAAATATCAATAACTTCCCAATCAGAAACAATAAACATTTTATTCAATTTATAAATATCACAGGATTTATTGAGAATAGTATAACAATTACAACAATAATGTTTAATATTATAAAGAGAAATATATTCAATATCAGTACTTTTATATCGAATATAAAAAGCTATCTTCTTTTTAATCAAATTAATTTCTCGTTTAAAAGCTTTATAATCGATACAGAATTGAAAACGAACAAATAATATAATGAAAAAAAAGTATTCGAGATAAACTATATAAAGAATAATATTTCTTTTCAAATCTTATAAACAATCAAGGACAATATTTAATTAAGAAAAGAATAATATTATAATTTATATACCGATTATAAAAAGAGTATAATTTAACTGTTGTTTTCGGAAGTTCTGATTACCTAAATTTAAAATCCCAGGATTTCTAGGATAAATATCCTAAACAATTATAATAGAATAGAACAAGTATTCTATCTAATTAATTGTAATAAAATTATCATTTTAAAGAATATCATATTTTAAGGTTATAATTCCTAAAAGAAAAACTTCTAGAATAAATATTCCAGGAAAGAAAAGACTTTAAGATATAAAAGGCTTTAGAATC